CTTTTTGCTGTTTGTGGTTTTGGAAACACCAGTTCAGTGGCTCATATTCACATGAGCTCCAGGACTAGATATTTTTACAGTGGCGTCATATCCTTATTTCCTTTCACCTGTCATACTTATACCTTTACTCTAATGTCTCAAAGGATCCAGTTCTTAACACAATCTCAGTCTCATGGTAAACAATCTAGGCAACATAACCAGGGAGCACCCACTTCATAATTTTCCCTATTCATTCATCCACAGCATGAAATTTCAGGACAATACAGAGAATACGGCTGAAGCCTAAAGGTTGCAGTGATATACTGCTCTATCATCAAGTGCATATTTCAGTTTTCAATTTATCTGGTATGTAATAACTAAAATTGAGTCTAAACCCAAAAATAAAAATGAAAGGTTCACATTTTTTATTTTTTCAAGAAAAACTGAGTCAACAACTGCTACACACACAACTCTACTGGAGGGATGGACACCTTTCTCCCAAAAGATGTTCCCAACTTGGCATTGTGATGACAATGGTAGAGACTTTCTAACACGCCATTCCAAAATCTCCCATAGGGTTGAGATCTGGTGACTGTAAAGGCCACAGCATATGATTCATATCATGTTCATACTTGTGAAATCATTCAGTGACCCCTCATGCCCTGTGGATGGGGGCATTGTGAGTGGAAGAGACCACTCACTTATTCAGGTTTTTACTTTAATTTGTAATCTGTATAATACAGCAACACATCTGTGCTTCACATTTGTGAATTTTCCCACTGTGGGACTAATAAAGGCTCATCTTTTCTAATCTCTGAGCTCATACTGATATATCACCTGTATCAACAGGATCAATCCTTGCTGACAATGGTAATCCTTTGGTTGAAGGGTAGTTTAATCATTATATGCCATAAAATGCCCCCTTCTCTTGAGAGAATTTAAGTGGAAAACTTTATTCCCATTGTATTATATAATTTATCCAAGGCCATGGCCAACTATAGGACTATACTCTGATTTGGCTGAATCATGCTTTGCCACCACAGCTGTAAAAATAAAGTGTCATATATACCCATTCTATCCATAAGTGCGACTGTGACATGCTGACAGCTGGTACAGACATTTTCAAGTTACTTAGCAACTGCCATGGACTGACGAAGATAATATGGCTGCTGATGGAAGTAGTGATGCCTGAACTCTGTCAGTCAGCAGGACTGCAGAGACTAGCCACAATATTGAATAATCACAGTTTACACAATGTCAGGATGTCATAAAGAAAATAAAAAAAGAAAATCAGGACATGTATGAGGGGCTTGCTAGTAACGACAGAGAGCATTGAGAATTTCCCTGTGAATCAAGGGAAACATCACATCCCTAATGATGGAGGGAGTTTACTCCAGGTGACATCCACTGTTCCAGGTGACAAACACCTATGTTTTCAGTGCACAACAATGTTTTCATACCATTAATAGCTTAATTAGAATCACAGGGCATTTCTTGTGACTTGCCTATCAGTAACCACTTAAACTAATCCAAAAGACTCGGCTGAATATGTTTCAGTGTACTGTAACGTGCAGTTTGATGGTGGATCACAGGAAGGCAGATGTCACCTGCACTATGAACAACCCTTTGTAAAAACTGACATAAAATAGAACAAGCACTATTGTTTAAAGTTTGACAAAGTATCACTTGAATTCAGTGACTTAAGATTAACTGTTTTGAGTAGGCTTGTTTGTTACTGGAGAAAATATGCTGAAGCATTGCCATCTGCAGGATGCAGGAATATATTACAGAATACAGCACGGTACCATCTAGCTATACAGTAAAAAATTGGATTTTTTATCTTTATTTGGAGCACATTCATGGAAATCTCTCAATTAACTAGCTACCTGCTAACTAAACCAAAAACCACCAACTAAACTCTACCTAAAAATGCACCTTTTTCCCGCAATTCCATACTTTTTGCCAGGAAACATCCAGGAAAATTATTAGGAAATTACACATCCTTGTGTTAAACATTAATCTGTTGTTGTTAGTGATCTGTTTAATTTCCCAACAGCCTAAAACCTGTTTTACTGCTCCTTGCTGCCAGGAAATTTTGGAGGAGAAACACTGTCTTTTACAATAAATTTAGTCATACTGGGTGTACAAATACAGGATTCAGTCTAAAACAAGAGTCTACAGCCAAGCTAGCAGCCCTGTGAGGTTGTAGAGGCACAGTGGTTGTTTGAGCGAAATGCTAACATGTTGATGTTTCCCATGTTCACCATCACAAATTTGCATATTAATAAGATAATATTAGCAAACTAGCACTTAACTCAGTACAGCTGAGGCTGATGGGAATGACAAAGTATCTGGGGACCATGATAGTTGTTGAAGTACTTCAGTCCAGACCAAAGCGGTGGAGCAGCAAACCAACCAAGCGACATTATATGGTCAGCGTTTGACTGAATGTCACTTTTTTTTCTGTTCTGAAGGATGGACAGACATGAAAACATCTCAGGCCGTAGTCTCATCACAAGGGTGCATAAAACCCTGATAACCAGAAAAAACATTAGGGGCACTACCTAAGTGTCAGCCATGGCCCTGAGGAGGAGGACGGTTAATAACAGAGCCTTTAATGTTGGCTCACACATTAAATAAGTGGGCTGATTTGTGTCTACCTCATGTTACCAAAGACACTTAGCTGTATGGCCCAGTGAAAATATTATAAATCACCAGTCATGGCACCATTATCAGCAGTTCAGTGGAAATGAAGATAATCCCTCTCCAGCTCTACTAATCTTTTATTAAAACATCCATTTAGCTCTGGCTCTTTAGAGATAATATCAGTTTTACACTGCAGGTCTGACATTAGCTCACGTTAATGTCTAGTTACTAGGCCAACAAGGATGTTATTAATGGACCCTTCTGTTTCAACTGTCAAACGTTATTTAATTTACGTTACACTTTAGAGTCAGACTTAAAATGTTAGGTAGTTATTCAGCAAATTGATTGGATTTAAACTACCCTGTGTCTTTGTGCATGTGGCTTCCTTTAAGTCCAGAATAGCATGCCAAAATGTCAACTCAAGGTTACTGTGCAAGTCAAAGACAGTGTGGATATTTTATGTTTATTAAATAAAGACAAGAGCAAAATGGAAATGCACAGCAACATGAATCAAGATTTATATGATAAATCGCATGCAAGTTTGTGAAGATAATTTCAAATAAAATGCTATGATTTTGAACGCAATAACACAGGTAAAGCACACGTAGCTACCCAGAGGCAACATATTCCAAATTATCAGGGCTACTGAAAGCCAGTTATTACTCATAATAAACACAAAAGGCACATATTTAATGTACCTGAATAAAAATATATATATTTCACCTGAGAACATTTTAACCTATGTACACAATAACTGAATTACTTTCCTTGATGCCTCACTGATGCTTATGACAAACAAATATTATTTCTATTATAAAAAATTCTCTTTCCTTTAAAATTTGTCTTAAAAAAAAGTACCTAAAGTCTCTTAAACATGTTGTGCAGTAAATGGGAAACGGGGCTGAAATTTTGAGATTTATATCCATGAAAATGCCTAAAATACACCTTATTTTCCAAAACTACATTTGAACAAACCTTCTAAAAACACAACTGAAAGGAAAGGCTCACTCAGCAAAAGGAAAATAGACAACTTATAGGAATATAAATAATTACAGCTTCACATCCAGTCAGGGAGCGAGGAGCCACCTCTGACTCTCTTTAAATAGCACCGAGCAGCTTCTCCACAGCGACGGTCATCAGGTCAGAGTAGAAGTTCCCCTCATTGTCTCCGCCTCCGAACACAAGCAGAGTTTTGCTGACAGAGCCAGTGTCCATGTCCATGTCCTCATCCTCCCTTGAGAAATGGCGGAGACCAGATATCTCCATGGTGATGATGGAGTGCCCCGCCCTGGGGACAGAGAGCTGTGGGAGCGCCACCTCTGTCCAGCTGTTGGTGTCTGAAACAACAAAACAAGATGTCATCCTGGTAATAATGTAATTTCTGGTTGTTATGAGATCTGCAACAACTCGATCACCAAAAAAATAATGACTAGGTGGATAAGCAATTAACTGTTAAGGGGGGGGGGGGGGAGGGAAAAAACATTCTCTGGTTCAAGCTTCTCAACTGGAAAACTGATGGACATTTTACATTTTTGACATTATAAGTTATAATTTCCCAACGCTACCCTCACTAAACGCCCCCTTTAATCTCCTCAGCTGTTCAAAGGAAAGGTTTGCGACTCTTTCCTGTCTCTATTAGTTTTCCTCGTCCTCACTCTGGGCATAACTGTGGGGACGACACATATCAAGCTAATTTAGCATCCTGCAGCAGACACTGTAATGTCGCCCCCCGGCCACACTGAGAACAGGGCCGCAAATTTTACACTTGCTTTCTGCTGACATTAAATTGCAGCTGCAGTTCTCTGTGTCACAGCAGTGGTAAACCAGGGGCTGAGGATACGTGTATACATTTCCTTGTTTTTTGCGTCCCTGAATGGAAACGCCTTAAAATACATGTTGCACGAGACCCACAATGCAAAGTCCTGCGGTGCCGTCTTCTGTTTCTCCAGCACAAATTCCTACTGTGGCTCCTTAGTAAATATGAACACAAGCTATTCCACTGTTTAGCGCCAAAACATGAGCCACAAAACCACAGCAAACATCCCCCCTAGTGGTAGGGGCCATTCTGGTCTCACCACTGTGGTTTGTTCAAGTTCAAGTTCAAGTTAAATATAAATAAATAACACAAAATCTAAGGCACTTTAAGCAGCGCAGATGCAGCAATATAGTAGAGAGAGAGAAAAAAAAAAAAAACGCCAAACTGAGTTTAGGTACTTTTCAGGAGGACAGCTTGAAGTGCCCTGGGTAAATTCACTGTTAGCTCCTGGAAGGCTTCTTCCTAGGATGTGTAATTGTCTTTGTAATAGTGAGCTGCCTCTCACCTGTATCAAAGACGAAGGTGTCACTGAGAGCATTGTTTCCATTGTAACCCCCATGGATCAGGAACTTTGTGTCTGAGAGCACAGCACTGCCATGCCAGCTGGAGCACACATTGAGACACGTAACTTATATAAAATGATATAAAATGAGAAATACTGCAGATAAGACTGGGCAGTGCTCAACATTTCTAGATGCAAGTGCAAACCCGAGTTTTGGCACTGATAACAAAACTAAATTTGATACTTTATTTTGAACAATATAAGGTTTTAAAAAAAGCCAAACCCTGTACCTTCGAGGAGAGGGGACTTTCCCAGTTGTTTTGACCACACAAAACTCCATCAGACCTTAGAAACACAAAAACATTCATTTCAGTTAGGCCTGCAGGGCTACATACTTACCCTTTTATCCAGACTACATGCTTGTGTGTGTACAGATAGATATGTGCATGTGTGTATGTCTTACCAAGGTCCAACATGTACATGTCATTGTAGCAGACAGGAGTGTCCCATCCACCAAATACATAGATCTTCCTCTCTTGCATCACACATGCAGAGTGACTGAAAGAGAAATGCAGAGGGAGAACAGGATCATGGGAAAACAATGTGTCTGAATGCATCCATGTGTCGTGAGAGCCAGATATGCTGAGATGATGTTCAAATCATCTTACCCTGAGCGGGGGGAGGGTTTGTCTCCTGTGACAATGGGCTCATACCAGATGGAGAGGTGGGGATCAAAGATATACAGTGAGTCACTGCAGCCATCTGGCTCCGGGTTTGGACGCGGAAACACACCTCCCAGGACAAAGAGTTCACCACGAAACATGCTGCAGCTGTGGTAGGCCAGAGGAGGCACCTTACCTTGAGCCTGAAGAACACAAGATGGGAGGAGGACATGAAGATCAGGGACAAAAGCAAAAGGAATCCTTAAAGGCTGCTCAGTTAAAACAAGCTCAACACACACACACACACACACACACACCTCTACCATGGTCCACTTCCAGCTCTGTGTGTCCAGGATGTGAACATCATTGAACCATTTCTTGTTCTTAGAGCCTCCAAACACAAAGATACGCTTTGAGTCAGGGTCGTAGACGGCTGTGTGACCAATCCTGGCCTCAGGGGTTGGACCCTCTGCCAGAGTCTCTGCAGGCATCCAGGACATGTCCTCTACAGGACAGAAACAAGAGCACTCACTCTGTCATGAACATAATGGAACAGGGTTCCCACTGGAGCCTCAGATATGAAATAGATTTAAAAATGTTGTTTGACTGACTGACCTGTACAGAGCTTCCACATGGGATCTTTGCAGAACTGCATCCTGGCTCCCTGTCCTCCAATAAGAATTGCTGTCTGAGCATCAATGGGACATAGTGTCTGACCCCAGCGACCTGACGGGGTCACCAGCCGGGCTGCAGGATGACCACAGATTTAGTTCAAAGGTTAAATGTCTCAAAAATATCTTGCATACGACCTTGCTCTCTAAACCCAATTCATACCAGATTACAGGTGAAGGTCTGATTTCATTTGATTGTCTAATGAAGCTTCCCACAATGAAACTGAGGTCCTTGAATAATCACTATAGAGATTTGCTGATCTGAGGAGAGAATGTGGTTAAAACGGCTTCTATACTGGAGAGCTGAAGTGTGTTGATGCTGGATATATCAGTGGGTGTTGCAGAGAAAAAAAAAAAGGGGGGGGGGGGGTTGCATCTTGGTGCCCGTCTCTTAAGAGTTGGCATGGATCGATAAGTTTGTGAAAATGGAAACATACCTGCCCTCTAAAACAGACAAGTCAAAAACACTCCAGAAATTCAGCTGAACTGCCCTGATAACTTATCTTCTGACTGTGTAATGACATATCCTGCTACTGACAAATGCAAAAACTACATATAGTTACAGTATATAATGTTATCATAAAGGAATAGTTTGACATTTGAAAAACTGCTTATGTGTATTCTTGCAAAGAGTTGGAGGAGAAGATCCATACTGCTCTCATTTACTTGGCTAAGCTCGACTAACCATCTTCAGGCCTTACAATTCCAATAATGGTACTCAAGTAGCTGTAACCTAGAAATACCTGAATGGACCACAGCCTGTGTATGAGTCACACTAAGTTTATGTTACCTTCCTGCACTGAACACTGCTCACTACCAGAGAGTGTCAATCAGAGAATCTCATTCTGTGATCTCAGGTGGGCGATCAGCATCAGCGCACCAGTTATGGGACTGGAAAGTTATGATCAAAAATGATATGTAATGTGTATGCAGACACTCACTGGTTTGCGTGGGAGACTTGGCCTGCCTACTCTTTGCCCTTACTGCACTCTGAGGAGGTGTTCTTCCCACAATCCCATGCGCCTCTCCTGCTCCATGAGCTGTAGAAAGGAAAAAAGGGATGAAGACTCGATCAAAGAAGCAGTACACAAAGAAATGCTTTACTCCACGCTGAGCCACAAGGATGTCTTAAGCACTAATTGTCATTAGCATTATCACTCGGACTTACACATTCACACAGGCAGAAACTTTTACCACCTCTAGCAAACACACACACATGGCATTAAGGTAGCTTTTTGGTCACATTCCATTACAAAAATAAAACTCTTCTATAAATAAAGACTGGTTTTTACTGCCCTAGCAGATGGTTATAAGAAGTAATGGACTTGACATGATGACAATAAATGACAACAGCCTCTCTCACCAGTTCCCTTCATCCTGGTGGCATCTCCCCCACTGGTGAACAGCTTCTGGCCCCCTTTGGATTGCCCTCTGGCTTTTCGCACAGGTGTGGTCTTCTCCGTGGTACCATTTGGACACACATTCTCTTCTTCTCCTCTCTTTGTAACCTCCTCTGCCATTTGTTCTCTCTTCCTCTTGCCATTGAGCTCACGCGCTGTGAGGGGAGCCACAGTATCCTGAGACAGTGCAAAGGACAGGAGGCCTGAGTGGTTGCTTTTATTTATCATTTAGCTAATATTTTGTATTGTCTGAAACATTTTAAAAGGGAAATCTTCACAGGAAAGCTGTCACATAGTAGCACTGTATGCTGTTTTACCTTAAGACTGACATTTATTCCTGCAGTTTCAGTGTAAAACCATACACAGCCTTCATTAAATCCACACTTCTGACCAGATCACTAGAGCTAACAGCTAATTTAGCACTGTGGGCTAACAGGCAGGTTTCCCTCCTGAGATACTCTACCGAACACTTCCGACTCACTTATTTTGCGATCCATGCAGCTTTAATCCCATAAACAACGTGTCGTGTTGATTTTCTCAAAAGCTCTCATTCATTTTTGGCCATTTTCTACCCCACTCCTGTGCATGTATCTGGCTGATAATGGCTCTTGGAAAACCCCTCTGTTATTAACAGTGTATCCTTTTCAGATTACCTTTGGCGTGTATTCTTTCACAGCCAGGATGAGCTCTGGTTCTGACAAATCTTCTTTCACCTGAAAAAACAACACAAACAAAAATATACAGAATAAACATTTGCCTGTTATTCAGTTCATAAGTCAAGCCTTTGAATGGAAACAGACCTCTATGTCTTGGTAATTTTATGAATGATGACACCAAAACTCTACTTTTATATGTAATTTTACCCCAAAATTGTATTGATGAAACTAAATAAAAGATATACTGAATTACTGCCCCATGTGTGCTTAATTGTATATTTCTATATTAACAATCCAATGATTTGGCTGTCAGCTGGACAAATACAGAGAATGGTGGTAGCTATATTATTATAGCTACCACTTGTCTTGACTGGTTGTTTGGCTATTTGCAATAGTTTAATCCTGAAGCTGAAGGGTCTGTTTCATATGTACCAGGTTTCCTCCCTCCAGAATGACATTCAGTGTGACGCTGTCTGTCCACGTCTCCTCCTCCCACTGCTCCCATGACAGACACCTAGAGGGGACAACAGGCAGCACAGTCAAAGGCCATCAATTCATCTTAGTCAATAGTCAGTAGTTACACAAGGCAGCACCTACAAAGAGGGTGGCACAATGATCGTTTTTATAAATAGATGTCAGTTTGGTTTTTCAATTTCCTCTTTTCCGCGACAGCTTGAACCCACCTGTTATAAGGAGTCAGTTTGCCGATGGTAATTGGGACCCGATCAGCATCGTTGAGCTCCGCGTTGACGCAGAGCCTCTTCCCCCACGGCCCGCTGCTGAACAGCACCACCTGCTGGACAGTTGGAGGAATGGCAACGCATACCCTGCACGACCCGTCGGCACTGACACGAAAAAATAAAGAAATAACTGAATATTATTGGCCTCTTGCTATTCAGGATAAAGTGGCAGGTATTACACTGTCAACGAGAAGTTAACCAATGTATCCTTCTCTATAAACACAGCTAGTTTAAAGAAGCGCCAAAGAGAAGCCATAGATATCGTTAAAGGTTTTGTGGCTATAGTCACCACCGCTTACAGAAAAACTTAAAACCTTCAATGTTTAACTTACCCGAGCAGCCTTTGAGGGGGGCCGTTTACCCCGAATACCGCATAAACTCCGAAATCATCCATCTCTGCGTCTCCGTCCAACAAGAGCAATTTCTGTCAAAGCAGTTTCTGTCCCACTTTATTTGAAACAATTTCAAATAAAGGGTATTGTTTCTAAGTCCGTATATCTCCCGCCGCCGTTGCATGTAGTTTCTAAACTCCGCGCGACTTTTGTCCCTGTGTGCGCGTGTTTTGTTATTAAGGGTATATCCACAGATGGAGTCTTCACTGTGGAATACACAGCAAACGAGAACGCCGCTCATACGGTACGTTCTGATAAATACATCGAATACACTGCAGAGTGTTACTCACAAAGCTGTAAGCCAATCAAAGGACTGCTTTCAGAAGCGTGACGAGACGTAACACATGCTGCGTTCAATAACGGGGATGGTTGGGTGAGCTGGGGGCGCTGTAGCTTTAGGGGTTTAAAAAGATTTCCATATTAACCTGCACACACACTAGGCAGTTTATGGTGTCACAAAACACTTAAGATACTAAAAATAATCCAGTAAAATTCCAAATGCAATAAAATTACTTTTAAAATGTTTTGATGGCAGTAAGAGTCAAAAGCTGAAGGAAAGATGTTAATATTTATTACAATTTATCTTCTTAACTTAAGATAAAGACAAACACGTGAACAAGAGGGTTGGTAATGTGACTGTAATTTTGAAAGCAGTAAGTTTATGTTTAAATCTAGAAAATTTGTGACAAAGCCAGTGCTAATAGTTGATAAAAATCTTGCAGCAGGTGCTTGAACATACCCTCAACAGCTATGACTTTCGAAATGCATTGTGGGACAGGGTGCCGATAGAAAGCTTCTCGAAGGAACTGCAAAGATGATGGTAAGTACGCTAATGTTCATGCTTACAATCTACATCCATCCTTCATTTTGTCAGCAAGCATTTGCATCTAAACTACCCTCAGTTTAGCGGACTGTCCGCTGGAAGTCTTGGGAAGCAAATATTTTGTGAAAATGATTTGTTAAATGGTTTTAATGTTAGCATTGTAGGATGACCCGGCATCAATGGGCGTATATGGTGCTAACGGTGATGCTAGCTAACAAGTTAGCAATTACAGTGTAACATTGTAACAGACAAAGTGCTTTCAGGTGGTTGAACCGTTATTTTAGAGGGTCATTTTAGTATATATTAATGTTATAAGCCTGTAAAGCGTCTGTTATTGTTGTGAGGTAGCTGTAGTGTGGTTGAACTCTGCGTGAATAGAATAACATTAACTGAACTGGCAACATTTATTTTGCACTGTAAACGACCTGAATAGCCATTTAACCTTATTGTATTGCTGAGGTTGTTGATCACACGTTTGTCTCCAGACTGAGCACCTATGGCTAAACCTGGTATGATGCAGAGGTACAAACAAAGACCCTGACAATACAACATTGAATAAACTGGGAGGTCCGTGTTATTTGAGGGTGTGAGAAGGTGTTTGACATGCTGATTGATAAACTGGTCACTACTGTTCGTATTTTGACAGTGTCATGCAGGTGCATGTCTGATGGGTAAATAAACCATCACAGCTACAGTACCAGCCCCACAGTCTGTGCGTTTTCCCCTTTGGGTTAACGTTACAGCTTTAAAACTGTATCTCTAACTGAAGCTAAATGATGAGGTTGGAAACACATGTGCATAAGCAGTATTCAGACTTTATCATGACCAGGACATAGTACTTGATTACACCCGACTTATTGTTAACACATTGGTTTGGCTTCATCTTACTTAATTTTTTCACTTTGTACATTTTTCTCTTCCTTTTCTGTCAAACCCTCCTTCCTCCCCTCCAGCCCGCATCGGTAATTCTGCTGAAGGAGGGGACAGATACATCTCAGGGCATTCCCCAGCTCATCAGTAACATCAATGCCTGTCAGGTCAGAAAACTAGCCCTTCTCTCTCTGGTTGTTTTTTTATATTTATTTTGTGTTTGTGGCATGTTTTTAACTCTGTTTTTTCCAGGTAATATCTGAGGCTGTCAGAACCACCCTGGGGCCTAGAGGGATGGACAAACTGATGGTGGACAGCAGAGGTGAGGAGACTGGGTTGAACGAGGACAAGATTCACAGGTCTGCAACTCCTTTATCAAAAATGTGTGAATGGTTTTCTGTTTTCCAGGTAAGGCCACAATCTCCAATGATGGAGCCACCATCCTGAAACTTCTGGATGTGGTTCACCCTGCAGCCAAAACCCTGGTGGACATTGCTAACTCCCAGGATGCAGAGGTGTGTTTAAGTTTTATGGCAAATTTCATTTTATTCGAAGGAGTGGACATCACAGACTACAACATTTCAGAATGAAATTTTAAGCAGACGCCATCCTTCCCTTCTACCATCCTCAGGTTGGGGACGGCACCACCTCTGTCACCCTCCTGGCTGCTGAGTTCTTGAAGCAGCTGAAGCCATATGTGGAGGAGGGTCTCCACCCTCAGACCATCATCAGAGCATTTCGCATTGCCACCAACCTCGCTGTCAACAAGATCAGGGAGATTGCTGTCTCTGTGAAGAAAGACGACAAGCAGTGAGTTCTCACTGTCACCGTTAATTTGTGTGGCTCAGTATGTCTGAGCATTATACTAATATTGTATGCTTAGGTAGTAGTTAAATAGTTGTATGTTTTTCAATGTGCTGCTCCCCTCTCAATCCTGTCAGAGAGCAGAGGCAGCTGTTGGAGAAGTGTGCGGCCACAGCCCTGAACTCCAAGCTAATTGCTGGTCAGAAGGAGTTCTTCTCCAAAATGGTGGTGGATGCTGTGGCGTCTCTGGACGAACTGCTGTCCCTGAAGATGATCGGTATCAAGAAGGTCCACGGAGGAGCTCTTGAGGTCAGTGTCTTGAGTTCTGCCGTTGAAAATATGATTCTTGATGAGAAAATTTAAATACCATGTTAAACTAGTGAACAGAAATTGTAGACAGTCTTCTCTTCATTTTGTTTCTCCAAATTCGTTCTTTTCAAATTTCCTGTACTTAACTTTTACAGGATTCCCATTTGATCTCTGGGGTCGCATTCAAGAAGACCTTCTCCTACGCTGGGTTTGAGATGCAGCCTAAATGCTATGAGAATCCGAAGATTGCTTTGCTCAACGTGGAGCTGGAGCTAAAGGCTGAAAAAGATAATGCTGAAGTCCGCGTGAAATCTGTGGAGGTATGGAGAAAACATAACACAGGACCAGGGCACACAAGTCTCTTTCCTTATTCCATGTTAATTGTGTTTTTTTTTGTTTTGTTATTGTTTTCCTGTCCATTTTTCTACAGGAATACCAGGCCATCGTGGACGCTGAGTGGAACATCCTGTATGACAAACTGGAGAAGATCTATCAGTCAGGAGCTAAGGTGGTGTTGTCCAAGTTGCCCATCGGTGATGTTGCCACCCAGTATTTCGCCGACAGAGACCTGTTCTGTGCTGGCAGGGTGCAGGAGGAGGACCTGAAGAGGACTATGATGGTAGGAGAAGTGCACAAACAGGCACTGTGTCACACAGTTCTGACATCCAGATGTTCATGTGTTAAGACCAGAATAAGTCAAATAGCCAGGGCTGTGAGTGGCCAGCAAACAGGAAAGCCAGCTGCTGTGCCTTTTAATTTTAGCTCATTGTTTTTAGTTCATTTTTTGTTTTGAAGAGGCAACTTTTACTGAATGACAGTTATGTCCTAAATGATAAAGCATTACATCAGATTGTGCACTTGAATACAGGTTTCAGCTGTAAGTGTCCTGGAGAAAGTTATAGATTAGCACAGTTTGTGTGTTATAAACTCAGCCAGGCCTGGCGTGAACTGTGTGTAATGTGACCTGCAGGCCTGCGGAGGCTCCATCCAGACCTCAGTAGGAGCGCTGACAGACGATGTCCTGGGACAGTGTGAAGTCTTTGAGGAGATCCAGGTCGGAGGAGAAAGGTAACAAGGACAGTTTGTTTTGTTTTTTCCCACCCTACCCTCTTCCCTGGAAAAGCCTGCCTTCTGATTCCTGCTTTTTATGTCTGTGCCTGCAGGTATAACTTCTTTAAGGGCTGTCCCAAGGCAAAGACCTGCACCATCATCCTGAGGGGCGGAGCAGAACAGTTCACAGAGGAGACAGAGCGATCGCTGCATGATGCCATCATGATTGTGCGCAGAGCCATTAAGGTCAGTTGACGTGCTATGAATGTACCAAGCTATGTGCTGTTGTAGTACCACTTTTTTTTTAAGCACTTTTTTTTAAAAAACATTTGCAGTTTTGGATCAATGTAGCTGTATCTCCTGACTCTTATGTAGCTATTGAAATCTTTACATCCACAGTAACTTAATTTGTCGGCCCATCTGTGCACCTTGACAGCAAACAGCTGACTGTAATGAAACCATTTTCAGAATGACTCCATTGTGGCTGGTGGAGGAGCCATAGAGATGGAGCTGTCGAAGTACTTAAGGGATTATTCCAGGACCATCCCTGGAAAACAGCAGCTGTTGATTGGCGCGTACGCCAAGGCTCTGGAGATCATCCCTAGACAGCTGTGTGACAACGCCGGTTTTGATGCCACAAACATCCTGAACAAACTGCGTGCCAAACATGCACAGGTAGGACATGAAACTCCTTAATCCTCAACAGCACACGTAGCATAAAAGGGCTTTTATAAGTGTCTTGAGCTCTTGCTCATCTCTCCTGTCCCGCTGCAGGGTGGTATGTGGTACGGTGTGGACATCAACAATGAGGACATCGCAGACAACTTCGCTGCCTGTGTCTGGGAGCCATCTATTGTGCGGATCAATGCTCTGACAGCAGCGTCAGAGGCAGCCTGCCTCATCCTGTCAGTCGACGAGACGATCAAGAACCCCCGCAGTTCAGTGGATGGACCGCCAGGTGGCAGGGGCAGAGGCCGTGGGAGACCACACGCACACTAAGAGGAAGCAGGAACAAACCCTCATTTTAAACTGGCATTAAAATCCAAATGCAGATAGAAGATGGTGTCAGGTTACAATTGTAGATCGTGTTGAATGTAACTTGGGATGTTTGACTGCATTTAGATTTGATTTCTACATAAAATGAGGTGTAGTCAGTCATGCACACATTGCAAAAGACAGGTGTAGTAAAACAAAAGGGGGACAGCAGGCGTTGGTCTCGCAGTTTCAAGACAGATTCTTTGTACTTTGTAAAAATGGCTCTTTTTTTTCCACCTGTAGCTTTTTCTTCCCAAAAGCTTGACGGTTATGTTTGTAACATTTCAAGTACTGCATCTTTCCACCTGTAGCCATTTTAACAACAAATGATATTGAAATACAAGCAGAATGAGGTTAGTCCTTCTGTCCAGCTCCTCCTCTCTGACCTGAAGTTGCTGCCTGATTCTGTCTAACCTGTGTTTACTGGCACAATGTGTAAGATGGAAAGTCAAGCACTGGTGGGATGTTGAGCAGTTCTGAACCGTTCATTGGTTACACTGTGTGAATCTATTTATTGGCCCATTCTTATCAATAAATTCACAGTTGAAATCATCAGACTGTTGGCTCTTATTTGTGTGTGGACAAAACAGACACAGTTTTAAGTTTCCTGATGGTGTGTCAATACTGTGATAGGACTGTAAATGCATAAAGTGATGTATCATTGTTAAAATAGAAGTGTTAAAAATGGTCCAGGTAGTGTATTTATTATTGGTATGTATTCAAAAATAAGGCTGAGAATGAGGCTTTGTTTTATGTTTTTACAATCTGCACAGTTTTAAAGACAGATTAGATGAGATCCAAACAGGTTTAAGGCAGCATGTCAGACATGAAACAGTGGCTCATTATGCTTCTTGTTATTTATAGATAAATATAGCTACAGGCTATTACAGCATACACAAAAAAGACCTCACAGGGTTAGGTGTGACAAGGTGGAAAACAAAACTCTCATTGTTTTGAAAGATGTTTGTGTTGCTTAGTGCCAACACCACGCACCCACCAGCTTTTCTTTCTGCAGGAACTCACTTTAAATTTGCACTAACTCATAATTATCAAATTGTTATGTGGAAGGTGTCGCTCTTTATGATGAACCTACACAGAATTATCACCAACCATGTGTAAATATGTTATAATGGGTCTTGTGTTTACAGCTGTTGCCTCTGAATGGTCAAAAAATTTAAATTAATACAGCTTTAATGTTTTTAACCAATAAAAACATTTTAAAAAAAGCTTGTTAAGTTTAGCTTCTCGTGGTAAGAAGTGCTGAGACACATATTAGACACGGATGTGGATAAAATGACTTAAGTCTTTAAGAGTCATTGAAATCATGTAATAATGTCACAGTCCTTCTTCCTATTATAAGGCGTTTTGATGCACCTAGAGTGTAAATGCTTTTCAGCATGTAGTTCAGTCTTTTGCCACTGGGTGTTGCAAAATTCTAATCACATTACAGAAACAAAGCTGCAGTACAGGTAGTAACATCATTATCTCATATGGATGGTGAAACGAGGTACCACTATTATTTGAGGGAAAACTGGTTATTAAGCACTGAACATGAGTGAGTCACACTCTAGGTAGTATGCTGCATTAGGTCTCTCCAGGTAACTTCTAAGAGTCTACTGATGCTGAAGTAGTCCTCAGAAGTATTCAGCCTCCAGCCTGCCTTTGGGTTTACACAAATGTTCCTCACAACTATTTCTGGGCAGAAAATACCTGGGACAGGAATATACGGTGTGAAATGACAAACTTCACTGAAGCCAGAAGCAGACAAATGTTTCTTCTTTTCCGTCCAGTGGCCACCTTCTCTTCAGTGAAATCCTTTAAAATGATGGGGATGATCTTGATCTTCTTCTGCTCTGATGAGTAAATGTAATGTCTAATTATGAGACATGAGTTTCTTCTTAGAATGCAAAGTTCCTGTCCTTCCCAAAAATTTGGGGCCCACTCCCAAAGTACCGCTTTTGTTAAAATTACCATCACTGGGATCAGATATTTTTTTATTTCTGTTTTCAAATCCTCCACTTCCCGCTCCTCCTCAGTTAGACAGGAAGTCTATGGAAGCACGGACAGAGCGGTTGGACATGATGTCAACAGCTGTGACTTTGATCTCTGTGTCTCCAAACTGCATGGCCGCCCTGATCTCCCTTCTTTCTGGGACTCCTCCTCCTGCTCCTCCCACCGCTCCCGGTATTGGCAAAGGTTCAGGTAAATCTAAAGTTATTGTCCCGCACTTCCTGACACCGGGGTCATCAATGTATGTGACGTCGTCTGTAGTGCTGCAGTAGATGTTGATGATGATTTTCCGTTGACCCAGACGAGCAGGTGTGTAGCTCCGCCTCACAACCTCGCCCAGTGCCACCGACTGGTCGACAGAGACGAAGCGGTCGAGGATGTCGGTGCACCACTCGCGGCCATCCTTGATGAGGAGTTTGTCACGTGGGTGGCGTCCTTCAATGAACCGGTTCAAGACGCCAACTCCATAGGTCAGGGGACATCGACGCACTCGGACCTGTGGGAGAGAGGTTGTTAGGTTGTGGGGTAAAGAGCTTCTCCCACACTGACTTGTGTCCCTGAGCCCTCACCACAGTGGGATCCAGCCCAAAGAGCACAGCGCCCTTCAATATGGTCAGACCAACGTCATGGGGGATGATGATGCGACACACCCGCCCCAGTGCCTTCTGTACTGCCTTCTGCAGCATGGAAGACTCTGCAAAACCTCCAACCAGGAAGAGGAAACGCACACCCCGCACCTCTGGCTTCGCCATCAGATCCTCTGTCAGGGAAGGGAAAGAAGCAAGATCTTTAAAAGCAGTTTACTTTGGACTGGATAGAGTTTTTCTGTTCATGTGGAACGTGCTGGAAGAGAAACACATGTATTTTAACATTTAAAACAAAGCCCTTTCTTTGCTTCTCCAGCTTTGTCCTGTTTTCCACTGAATGTCAGCAAAACTAAATGCTAGAAAACATTTCTCACCAATGTGTTTGACAATATTGGTGATGGTGGGTTGGAAGAGCTCGTTCATAGCTTCCTGTGTCAGCCGCAGCATCCCCTGGGACGACCACTTCACTATATTCACACTGACACACACATACACAGAAGAGAGAGAGTGCTGTTACACATAATCACTCTATCCATGACACTGCTCACACACTCATGCACTGTTACGCCCCTCACACACACACTCACTTGCTCCTCCTCAGGGCAGCTTCCACACTCTGCCCTCTGTGCGTCTTGTAGAAGTCGATGAATGAGAAGGGCAGAGAGATGTTGAGGGCATTAGCCCTGCCTGGCGCCGCCGTCCTTTTCCTTGCCTCAAAGGCAATAGTTAGGTCCACCCAGGCTGCTGGACGCTTGGCTTTGAAGCTCTGGATGAAGTCCTCACCAAAGATCTGGCACAGCATGGCTTCGAAGGCCAGGTCTACCCCGACAGCGCCGTATGGACCACCTGGGACAGAAACAACAGCTTTGGAGACTATTGCAAACTGGCTGTGTTTGGTGTATTTGCACGTTGTGAAACACTCTACCGGAAGCCTTGTAGAGCTCTTTAAGTGTTCCCTGTGGCTGTTCGATCTGATGGACTGTCAGGTCAACTGTTCCTCCTCCACAGTCTGCAACAATATACCTGTCACCTGCGAACCCAGTACTTCTCCTACATTTAGTGGAAGAAGCAGAGGATGATCATTTGTCTTCATTTTTGTGGAATGTCTAAATGTCATGTTTCCAGTGTGTGAGTGTTCCCCCTGAAACTCTTTAACCAGAGGGCTCTCAAACATAAACCACCTCTGGGCATTTGTGATTGCTCTGTGGTTCACTTTGAGTGTGTGTTTGTGCCTGTGATATAATCAGCAATAAGCTGACCACGCCCTAGATACGAGAGTGAAAATACCACATTAGAATGAGAAAAGAAAATGCAGGTAAAAGATAAAACAGGGTGTCTTCTTCTTCTTGGGTTTATTTACAGTGGAGGGGCAGTGAGTCCCATGGGCTGGGTCCTTCCTGTATATGTGTGTGTGTGTATGTATAGGAAAAGGTGCAGGAAGAGTTAGCAGGGGCGTATGGCCCCACAGATTTTTGTAATAGTTCTACAGAAAGAAAAAGCTTAAAGCAGATGGGTTTGGTCATCACAAGTTAGGATTTCATCATTTCTTAGCAAAATCTGTGGCTGTGAACAACATGTGTATGTTTGGTAGTATAAAACTGGCTTTTGGAAATATTATGACAATATTCTGATCATCATTTCTTCCTAAACAATATGAATTTATTATCAAAATCACACTTTTTTTTGCCCCCAAAATACTGGCCCTAATACTGTAGATGGACATTCAAGTGTGCCACGGAGTAAGAGCACCAGAAATGCTTGGAAAAGCATCTTAACTCCAGGAAAACCTACTATCTTTGTTCAGAGCTTTCAACCAAATCTCACTGTCTTCAGTTTTCTCACTGGTCAAGGAGGATTAAAACTCTGGAAAAAGTTGGTTGGTGGCCCATGTAGTTGATTTGAATCCATTAAACTACTACCTACTTCTAATATCAAGAATGAACTTTCACACTCGACGGGATCCCTGTGGGGGAAATCGAGAAGGCACACAGGAAGGAAAAGTCATTGTAGTTTCATTAGAAATGTTAAAGTAGGTGTGCCCGTTCCTCACAGCCTGCTGGGGTTAAAAGGTCCAAATCATCAATACCTCAGACATGTGTAGTCTTTTCTTTCTCTCTCTCGGCCACACACACACACACACACACACACACACACACACACACACACACACACACACACACGGCCTTACCAGTCTGCAGCTCTGACCACAGCTCTCCAGTTCCACTCTCCACCAGGAAGGTCCTGCTGTGTCTGGATCGTCTCAGCTGCTCCCGCGCTGAAGCACACATGTGGACAGGTAAATACACACTGATACAGAACATAATGACTTTTTATACCGCTGATATTTGGATATGATCTCTGTTGCACATGCACTTGTATGAAACCATATGTCATTAAAGCTGTTCAAAAACTCTGTGAATTGCAGATAAGGTTTATTTAGTTTTTTTTTATTTCCATTTTTCATAGATTGCTTCAGGGGCATAGAGAGGATTTCAGGGCCTCAGGGGCACAAGCAGGGATTCCTAGCTCCCTGAAATACTGCTCTGGGCCCCCCTTTTCTAAAAAAAATTAATTCAGCAATGTTTTTTTTTTTTTAACTCTCTCCAGCTGTGGGCGCTTAGAGTCATCCCCACCTTTCACCACCTTGTGCTGCATTGGCTGCACTTCATTTTGTATAAACAAAGTCAGATACTTAAGCTGGTGTTTAAAACAAATCGTCTCAAACAAAGACAGAAACATCTTCAGTTTAAACCTAATGAAGATTAATGTTTTTAATTTGTACTCCATATAACGAGGTTTAAACAGGTTTTATAACCACATTTACCTAACCTACAACATCAAATCTTTCAGTCCAAGTACAACATGTAAAACAAAACGAGAGTCATAATGTTTTTGCATGACGGGGGAAATGTCTTGAAAATGTTATCACATTTCACCTTTCTCTTCCTTTTTAACAGGCACACTGCCTGAGTGGCAGGTTAACAATATGGACTGAGGCCAACGAAAACAGAGCACACTAAAACATACCTGACAGCCTGTTTGACAGAGTAGATACACTTATACGCCTCCACGCATGCAAGTGAACACATGAGACATATTGGCTTTATGAGGAGAAATAACTGTGGATCATACAAGTGACAGGAGGAAGTTGGAATACAAAACCTTTCTCTCTGTGTCTTTAGACGAGGCTCTGAGGGAAGCTGTGGTCCTATAATTTAGGTAAAAGTGTTTTTTATTTGGTTCCCCCATACCCTATGAGCCCCACACACCACAAAAATGAGAGGATAAGAACAGAAGAGGAGAGGAGGGGAGGAGTACACTGACTGTAAGGATATTACACAACAAAGAGCTACACCATCTTGAAAGCAAGCACACTAACAGTTGTGTTAAGACCCTGGATGATGCAGGACGTAATGTGCAGTATGTGCGTGTGTACATAGTGCATGAAGCTGAACAAAGAACACCACAATCATACAGGCCTTGATTTCATCCGTGTGTGTTTGCAAGAGGGTGATAAATGGAACGCGAGTCTGGAAACCATTTACATGAAACAGCAGAAAAGAAAATATGTGCGTGTGTTAATGGCTCCCCGTTGCTATCTTTGGAGATGAAATGATGCGGACGAAATGCTAAAGATAGCAAAAAACCATGACTGTGATGCCAAGTTTGTGTGAAGGCAAACATATCTGCATGTGTGTGCGGTTTGTGTTTGCAGGCTTGCTGCAAAGAGTACAACCTTACAAAAGAAAGTCTGAGAGAGTGAGAGCAAATGGTAAAAAAGATGGAGTGAAAAAAAGGAAAAATGAAAGTGAGTGGAGGAGAGGGAGAATGACAGGCCAGGAGGGGGTGAGATCATGGTCTCACTGCACCTTGGTCCAATTACAGTATCCTGTGTTTAGTGTGGGTTTTTGTGTGTGAACGTTCCTTGTGTAGGTCACTGAGTGCCTATATATGAGTGGGCCTGCACAGGGGATTTTGAACGGCATGTTTGCTTAATGAATTATGCATCAGTCTCCTTTTTCCCAACCTGAAAATGCTCTTTGTGCCATTGTAGCATTTTAATGGCATTTTCCTGGTGCTGAACTGTTTCATTTCTGTGCAGCTTTACTTTATATTTATGACAGTACATCTGAGGAACATGCTTTCCTTTCAGGCAATAGTGATAACTTCTTAGAAGTGCTCACTTTGACCCTTTAATTTTAAACTGTTATACACTTACTCTTGGTAGACAGACTTTTTGATTGATTGAACGAAAGGAGTTGCTGGTTCTGGAGGTATTTACTCTCAATAAATTCCTGTTTGAGGTTTTTCTTTTAAAGCTGGACTTCTCAAAATTTTTACATTAACAACAGATCCAATAACTGTGTAATGTGAAAGAATTCATTTGTAGTAACAGACCCACAAGGAATTGCTGCCCACAGATTCCCTCAGAGTTTTAAAGTCACAGTCCCCAACTTCACTGTTTTGATTCAATCTCGCTGCTCTCATCATTTTCACTTTGGTTTTGAGATTTAAAAAAAATCTCAGTTAAATCGACAGTACACTATACCTGTTCACCACAAAATGCAAGTATTATTATGTGTTTTCCCATCATTTTTGCATGTCAGTACGTACTATGCCATGAGTCTCTGTTGCTTTTGGTATAGAAAAGCAAGCGGTGGAAATCAGATGCATTCCCATACTGCCACAAAATACGTAGCACACAGAATTCTTTACAACATAAGTTTGCTTTAAATCATGCATTAAAGTAGCAATGAATTGTACTGGTACAAACATGAGTTCAATCATTTGCTAATATTTTAGATGTAACTTCTTAACTGCTATGAGGTGCTTGCGAAAATAACTGAACTCTATTGCAGCTTATTTTATGCTGATAATGACTTGAGTTGTGTTTGCATGGCTGAACCTCGTTTTGTGTGTTTGCAGGAGCGATACCTTCCCATCTCGCCTCTGAAGCCTACTGTAAATAAACAGTGAAGAGAGAGGCATTCCTTTACTACACAGCTGGACCCTCAATGCCTGGTTTAGCAGAATGTCTCCCTCTTAATGTGAATTCTGCGGTCTGTTTCAGCACAGCTCTCCTCCTCTTTCCCCTACTGTTCATGTTTCCCTCTCTCCTGTTTCCCTGTCTACTCTAAACAACACATATGTCCCATCCAACGTCATATGTGTCTGTGTACAACCACACGCACATACATGACTGCGAAGGCATCTGAAGCAAAACCATGAGCAGTATCTGAAGGCGGATCTTTACTCTCAGCGCTCTCCCTTTCCCTCTCTCAAACACACACATATTCGTCCTTGGCAAAAATCACAATCCCCAAGTGAAATCAAACAACAACATTTCCAGGAACACAGTGCGGTTTCATGCTCATGACAAAGTCTACAAGAAGGCGCGCACACACACACACACACACACACCCTCTCTCTCTCTCTTCAGTACCTTGTCTGAAGCTGGAGTCAAAGGGCTTGGACCCGTCTAGATCGAAGCCATTTGTGATAGGCTGCAAGCTCAGGTCCAGCACCTGGTGCAGGCGGAGCTTGCGGCAGTAGATGGATGCAGCTTCTGGTTCTAGAGCGATGAGGAGCTGCTCAGGACAGTCAGGAGAGACTAGACCAGCCTGGAAAGGCCAAGAGAGACACACACAGAAAGAATTTTGTTATCCTGTAATAATGCCAAGTGCTAAAGTAGTCAGCTGGACCTGCTTGAGTTTCTTTAAGACGTTTCACCTCTTGTCCATTTCAACTAATTCGTGGGGAATCCCAGGTATTTAACTTAACACCTGGTTTTACCTGGTGTTATGGTGTTAACAACTCCACAGAACTTAAATACCCAGGAAATGTCTTCAAGAAATTCAAGTAGTTTTAGCACTTGACCTTACCATAACCTCAGGTCATGGTTTATCCAGATCACTGACCTGGATGAATGAGAATCTCCACAGAATTTAATTTTATAAAGATAAAAAGAGATGCACTAATACTGAAATGACAATTCTCAAATGTCCTTTTTGCATTTTTGCTGTTTTTGTGTTACAGTTGTTTTTAAATCTTCTGGGGCAAGTATCAAGTCATTCAGAAAAGATTCTATTTAAGTCACAGGTTTTCAAAAGCAATCCGCAAAGTTTTTCGCATTCCTGTATGCAGACAGTGAAAACTGCTTTCAGGTCTCTGGTCAGATCAAGTTCTGACTTTACCAGGTCAAATGTTTTTGCCAAGTTCAAATCTGCAGGCAATCAAGACTCAGCGGTCAAATCCAAAGCAAGTCTGGGGTCTATTTTATGAGTTACATCTGACACAAGTCCAGATCTCAAGTACCAAGGCTAGAGATGTAATATGAAGACAAAAATCAAAGAAAGGATTCAAAATAAAGTTAAAAATAAAGAAAAAAGCACCACCTGCAAACACTCCAACTTCACAGAAACAGAAAAAGTAGAATAAAGGACAAAGTCAAAAAAGGAAATTAAAGGAGGAGTTAATTATTGAGCTCAAATGTTACAATTGTTTATTGTTTACAGCTTACAAAACAAACTGATATAACACTTAACTGATAAAATACCTTATGGTGAGAATGGAGAGCAGAACAAGTCATGGAGGAGGAGGAGGGAAAGAAAAGGGCAGAAGAGGATTCATGGAGTAAAACACACACACGCCCGGAAGACCAGCTGTGCAACATAAACATATGGAAGAGAATCAACACGATCACACACAAGTTAATGGATAAAAGGCAGATTTCAGAGATAGAGGAGGTATACAAGCGTTAGTCCTGATGTATGAGGAGTGATGTTGAGTGGCTGGAACGATGCGTGTGTGTATGCAGGGCGGGGGTCTGGACTTGGCTTCCTGTGTTTGTATGCCGGTCTCCCTCATTGTTCACTCCTGATGACATCATCAGCAGCAGGAAACACACACACCCTGATGGCTTCACGCCAGGGCCCAGTGCATGTCAGTGTGCATGTGAAAGTGTGCATACATTATACTATTCATGCAAAAAATAAGGAACATATGAGATTAAACCAAAAGGCTACGTACTGTATATGCACTGCACAGATGGACTCACAACCACATTGATGTGCACTGTGATAGGACCCCCTTCATTTCTCTCCGTGTACACACACTTCCTACAAGTTACATATACAGTACACAGAGGAGGGGGGGTGTGTGTTCATGGGAAGATATGCTAGGAGAAAAAGGGGCAAAAGTGCATTATAATTTTTGTGTGTGTGTGGTAAGTGATCTTCGACAGGAATATTAATTAGAGAGCCTTTGTCTCATGTTCCTCTCTGACACACACACACACAGATTTCGTTGCCTTGTACTTGTAGATGGGTAATGACAATAAAGTTGAATCTAAAAATTCACACACACAGTGAGACTACACTCATGCTCTGTGTGTATCTTGAAGACTGAGTCTAGGCCGCTGAACCAGTTACATCCACATAATTTAAACATGGTAAAGTTTTTAGAGATCAGGAAAACATTTGTAGCCTCTTTCATGCCAACTACATTTCTCTAAACCTGGAAGCAGGTAAACTGTATGTCAGTTTTCAGGTGTTCCTACCAGGTATGCGGCCTCTCTCATGAACTGTTTGGCCGGTTGTCTCCACACGGCAGGGACAGTGATCACCCATCTTATCTCCTCTCCCTCCAGCACTGAAGAGGACTGGTCCTTCACCTCCTAATACATGAAAATAATCCATGAAAGGCTGCTTTCAATGTAACACTGAAAACCAATAAGATACAGTTTTCCTAGCCTCAAATATAAAGTCGTAACCCCCCACAATAAACCACCCATCTTGTATTTCATAAATCTCTATATAAACGTAAATGCCAAATACTTCCTCAACCTGATGATACAATACATTCAAGCACTTTTAACGTCTTACAAAATATGTTTCAGGTGCATAAAAGCACTTTGAGTTACTACTAAAGTTTCAATGTGCACCCTGTAGGGTACAATACTGCAAGGGGCTGCACCTTTAGGGCATGTTCCCTGAAGAAGCGCAGGGCGTGGGCAAACACCTCGATGGCCCTGACCCTCCGACCGTTGACCGCCTCCAGCTCCGTCTCCATGGTCAGATCCTACAGCATAAACAGCCACAGCTGCAAGAAGTGCTTAAGGAGTAACCTGACAGGAGTTTAGTGCTGCTGTGCTTTTTTTAGCTACAGCGGTTTTACTTGTCACTTTGATGCAGTGATGCAGACATGTACTCTTGGGCACCCACTCTTTCACACAGAGAAGACAAGAAAAACCTCAGCCTGGTATTAATTTATTCTTTAAAGCTTTAATTCTACATGTATAGTGTAAATCTGTACCACCTTTTTAATATAATTTCCCCTTATCTCTCGCTCTCTTACACTTGTGCTGTGGATCTTCATTTTAAATTTATCAAAGTAGAGCCAGTGTCGGGCCTCCTCCGGGTCCAAGTCATGATAAAAATCCCGGGCTGCAAACCCAAAACTGTGGAACCGTAAATCAGGAGTTAGCAGCAGACATGTTGGGCTTTTCTGATTGGCCACTCCAGGGTCGCCGCCCTCCCAGCGCCTGCATGGGTTAAAGAAAGAAAACCTGTCAAGGACAAAAATGAATTTACAATAATGCAGCCAAAGAGAATACAAGAATACAGTCTCTTACTTCATCATGTGTATAGCCTCTGAGTCCTGTGTGAAGCTGAACGCGTAGCCGCTGGAGGTTGTCCCAAAGTCTATCGCCACAACGACTGAGAATGGACAGGCCATCCTGGGTCTGACCTCCACCCTCTGATAGGGAGTCAGAGAGAGGGAAATATAAGGGTGTAGCTGGTACTAACAGGAGCAGACCTCCTCCTCCTAATCTCTCCTGTGCTCATTTATCTCTTTCTCCTTCAAGTTTATATTATGTAAAACTGAGGAAAACACATTAAAACACAGATTTCCACCCGAGCTAATGTGGACTGTGGCTTCTGTCTGGACAGGAAGCATGGGTGGGATTTAAACCGTTGTCTAATGTAATTACCAAGTATTACAGCATTTTTACATTTCACAAATAACTAGTTTCTATGAGTAGAAACAGGAGGTTGTCTTGGAAATCAAAAGATGTTTTTCTCTTCATCTCTCCTCTCTTCTAACTTTCCTGATCCCTTTCCCTAACAGTGCCAGTATATGTATATATTTCTCTAGCACAGATTGTCTTTATTTACTTTATTTATTTATTTATGGGTGCTTGTTTCAACTGGATGCTTCATTTCAAACTGTGAGTGCAAGGGTCACTATAAACCACTAATAACACCGCAGAGTGCATGTGGGTTTACAGCGTGTGTTTAACAGCTTTATATAAAGCAAAATAAGCAGAAAGAGGAAGCGGGCGTGTGTGGGAGTGTCTGTGGTAAGTGTGTGTGCGTGGTTACCGGCGAGGGCGAGGGTGTAAGGGGTGTGATGCTGCAGTCATTTCTAGCTGTGGCAGGTGATGACGGGGCTGATGGACTGTCACCTAAAAATTAATTAGGTAGAAGGAGAGAAGGGAACTTAAAGTGCCACACAAGATGGAAGAGCAGCTATTAAAACTCTATTAAAATAATTAAAATCTCATTAAAAATGTGTTTCAGGGTTGGAAAAGGGCCACACGTACAGAGGAAAATGAACAGTACAGCCAAAAAAAACTATACAGCCATGGGAAAACTCTGTTATCACAAGGAAAGAGCCATTATTGGACTGTCATCGGATGCTGATACCAATATAAAGGTACACATGGAGGAAGTACTTTACAGTACATTTCAGCATAGAGATTAGTGAATTAAGGTGTAAAAACACTCGAATTGAGGTCTTCTGGATGTGAGATTGCATATCTGTAACCAAATGGAATGACTGGAATGTCACTGGAATCTGATGTTCATTCCCAAGTGGGAGAGGGACATGGAAAGGTCAGCTTCCTCACACTCCATAAAGATAAAGAAGTGAAGTCATTTTCACCAAGTTGCCATAGTAATTTAGTCTGTGCCTCACCCGGTATCTGCAGGCTGTTTGGATCTGGATCCACCATGTCAGCCATCTTTACAGGAGCCAGGGTCTGCAGAGAAACACACCATCACGATGCATAGAGGATCACTGAAGTAGAAAACATTATGGCTTATTCCTGACAATCAGTCGAATGGAGAGGAATAATCTGAGCTCACACTACAATACTTATTGATTTTAGAATTAAGCTGAGTTAACAATATTGAATTAATATCACCCTAGTTGTCTACGTTGCTCTGCGTAATTCAGGCAGGTGCCGGTTTCCACATCTAGTAGGTACAGAGCAATGTTAACAGTTATTTAGAACAGTATTTCTGGCCACCTGGAGAGCATAAGCCCAATCTTAACCCCGCTTTTTGCTCTGTTTTAGTGTCCATCAACCCCTGAAGGAACTATCTGGCTCTTTAGCTGATAACTGTTCCACTATGTTCACCAGTTAGTAGAAAATCCTGTCTGCATGCTGGGCAGGTAGTGCACAGTGGTTTCATTACAGCCATGTTGCCAAAATAGTTGTCGGCTGAGTGCGAGCCAGAACAATAAGGTTGCCAGCTATTAAACCAAAACAATGAGCTGAAAAACACCAAAATGCTCCATAGCGTTGAGTGGAGCTGCAGAGTCAAGTGAGAATGATCTGCAGCTTCATCATTATCAACACTCTCTTTCACATTACACATAATTAAGTGATACAATGATAAGATAAAAAAAAAACATTAAGTAGTGGGTCTTTAAGTAATTAATTTTAATGAGTGTCCAATGGTAAATGGATGCCAATAACAATCATCTTATATGGTACACAGAGAAGCACAATAACATGGAGACAATTATAGTTCAGTGGTTAGAGATCGTTTTAACCAGCGCTGCATCCAAAATCACTCCCTCATTCACTTGCTCCTATTCCCTACATAACACACACTCGGTACTTTACTCTATAGCGAGCAGTAAATTACAAAGAGCTTCAGCACCAACAGGGAGAAAGTCAAGAAGACACACCCCAGCCATCTTTCACAGCGGCACGAGTCTCCCAGCTACTGTAACTGGCAGTCCTGGGAAGCTCTCAGGTGTTAGGTTAGGAATCAGTGTCTGCCAAATACCAAAGAAATCCCATAACAAAAGAAAAAAAAACCCAAACAAAACACACACAACAGTGTACACGTGTTGCCACATAACACACAATTAGTTTAAAGACTATGTAAATACTGTGTGTGTATTTAATTTGCTCTTACATAACCTGCATCAGTCAGTTGTGTATTTCTCCTGAATGCACCTCCTTTGTGTCTGAGTGTGTGTTTATATGCATATGGTATACTGAGTGTGTGTGTGTTTGTCTGGATTGAATTGCAGCACTGGGAATCATAGGATCAGTCTTTGATTTGAGCCGTGAGCAAACTAAACAAAAGAGTGCAATCAAACAAAGATGTGTTTGTTTAAATCTCATTCTGGTGAGTGCCCCGTCTGTGTTGAGAGAGAGAGAGAGAGAGAGAAGGAGACCATAACTTAGTTTGACATCTTTTCTCTGTGCACATGCATTGCAACATCTGTGTGCATTTATTCATGCGTGTGCCTGTATATAACATGTGCTCGTGCGTGTGTGCACCCCTGGCTCTCCTCCCCAGACACTATCTTTGCTATTTGATGACAAATCCAGAAAGAAAATGAAACTCCACATCTCTCTTTCACAGACTGTGCTTTTTTTCTTTCCTTCTACTTTTTCTCTGTCATGCCCTCATCTCTTTAAGTTTAATGTGCAGTGGATGACTGCCACCCCTTTTTTTATGTTTTATCTGTAAGTACTTTATTTTTATTTTTCAAATGCACTTTATTTTTCTTTTCTTGTTCTTTTAGTCTTATCTTGTTTACTCATGCACACCAAGAGCCACGTACCAGAGTCAAACCAATACACCTGACCAATAAAGCTGATTCAGTTTCTGACATTTCATATTAGAGAAAGACTGTGCAACACACTCCGCTCTTAAGCATCAATAACAATAGAACTCTTGTCCTGTGACCACAGAGAACTTTTGTAAACATCACTGATAGATTTATGTGCAAGACGGACTTGACAAAGCTCATTATCATGCAACTTTGTCTCACACAGTTAAAAACTGAGCCACTGATGCCAAAATGTACAAACTTGCACATTTATAGTTTAGAAGATAAACGGAAACTCAAAAGACTGCAGAGAACACCAGTTTAACATTTTTATATTACATTTGACAGATGGTTTTGTCCTAAAAACTGTGCATTCAACCTCAAAGGGAACAAGAACTACAAATTATACATGTTTTTTTTTTCATATCATGTAAACTCACCTCTTTTTATGCTGTTTGTGTGTTTCTCCAAATGAATTCCCAAACTCTGGAATCCGTTAGTCCAATGTTTGTAATCCACCTCCAGTGAGGCGATGGAGACTAAAAGAAAGAGGAGGAAACTGTAACTGGAAACAAGAAGATGCTTTTTTAGAAATCCCTTGTTACAAATGTCCCAGCTGATATGCAGCCAGGTTTCCCAAAACCGAAGAGACGGAGGGACAGATGAGCTGCAGCTGCAAGGAAGAAGATTATTTTCACTTCTTCTCCGAAAATCCCAGTTTTTCCTAGTTCTGTGCTTCTGCAGCCGAGCTCACCATCTCTTCGCTCTGCACAGGAATGTCAGAGAAAAGCGGTGACACACATGCGCACACACGCACCAGTTGCAGGAGTGGGAGGGCTGTGATAACACACAGGGGAGCAGTGCTGGGGGGTTTACCTCGCCGGGAAATCACTGCGTGTATAGTGGGTGGAGTAATCTTGAGCAGGCGGTGTATCCCACTTAAGTCATCTTGCCCTCTCTTTCCCTCCTAGCTATCCTTCTTGTTTAATTAGCAGTTCCCATCTTCCTTGCTGCTTCTCTTTTAATCTCACATTCCCATTCCTGTTCACTCACCGATGCTTTGCTTTAGTTATTTTAATGCTTATTCCTCTCTTTGTCTCCTTCCACTTATTTGTTCGGATGGATGCCTCAACATATTTATAGCATTTATGTACAACTTTAACATTGCAGGCAAAAGTAGGAGGCTGCCAGGTGTTAGTCAGCTTAAATGACTAATAAAAGGTCTAGTAGTGAAACAAATTGACACCATAAGTTGCTCCTAACCACTTTTTGCCCTCCCATCACATCCTGTTTCCTTGCGAGAAATAAACTAAAGCTACCTGGTTGCGACAAACTCCACATAATGCAGCCTCCAGCTTGAAGCTAGCGCTATCTGACTAACAAGCACATCTGAAAATCAGTAGAACACTCTGGTTTAACAGTCAAATGACTCTTAAATTAAAATCATGCTAATTCAAAGGTAGTATCATGACCATGCCAGGTCGCTAATGTTAGTAAAACAAACTTGTTGGCTTAGATGCTAATATATCCAGAAGGAAGAGCGCCACATCTGAATCAAAGCTGAGAAGAACACAGCCTCTTTGGACTTTCCGCCAACAGTCCTCCATGACTGGCTGTTTCAAATGACTGCTAGAAACTCTAAAAAGACTTCTTATATATATAGGGTGGCAGGAGGGCCTAAGCTCCAGACTGGACTTTGACCGTTCAGTGTAGAGAAGCTGAAATAACAACAGTAGACACCAGACTGTCATGAAGGGGGACAGTATACCGGAGAGACATCACGTCCTGTCCCATTTTGATTTATTAGACAATGTGTTAAATCTTAAATAATGCATCTTTAAGCCAAGTAAACTGGCTGATGTCTGTAGATGGCTGCCTTATATTTATCCTGTAGACATGAGAGCGGTTAAAATCATCTCATCTAAATGTTAGCAAAAAAGTAAATAAGCATATTTCCCAAAATGTCAAACTATTCCCTTCTAGACAAACATTTTTGCTGCACTCTTGCCTGGTTTCTATAAGTGGTTTGGGTGTGTGGATTTTGGAATCCACATCAACGATGCAGGGATCTGATTTCTCCCCACTAAAGCTATGATTGAAAGCATACATTAACCCCCAGCACTTGCTAACACACACACACACACACACACACACAACATGAGACTAATCAGCCCCACTCCCAATGGGCAAAGGAAGTCGGACCTCTTGAGTACGTAAAATATATACACACATCCACATCCACTCAAGTCTCCTTGTCAGCTTTCCAATTGAATTAGATCTTGTCTGTGTGTAATTGTAAGGCTGTCTTTGTGGAGACCAGAATGTCCTCACAAAAATAGACGTATAAACGTGTGTCTGGAAGCCATTACCTGGCATGTCTCCCCTCGTTGCCCAAAAACCAAGAGGCCCCATATAGATCCTGCCGTCACCTCTCCATTTCTCCATTTTTCTCTGCTCTGTATTACCGTACCTCGGGTATTGTTCTTCTACATCTTGTACCTCTTTTAGAGGACATTCTTTTCTCTTTCATGTTCCTTTGTTTAATCTATTTTATTTGCTCCCTTGCCTACATTCATTTGCTAATGTAATTTTTTAATTACATTATCAGGCAGGTACCATCAAATCTAGGCAATTTTTCGGGCATCTCTCTATATAACCATCAGTTACAGTCTGCATCATTCCCGATTAAACCCCCCGAGGGGGCTGCAGTAAAGCTCAGAAAGACCAAATTATGAAAGAGATCCCATGAGTCACTGTCTAGGTGCAGCTTTACCCTTCTCCTTGGAGGGCCAGATGCAGGAAGCCCAACACAGGAAGTGATGGAGTCATGTGACAGGAAGAGACCTTTATGTAACATTCATCTCATGAATTCCAGACCATCTCTGGGAGCCTGGAAGTCCTGGAGCAATGGAAACACACCCATAACATACACATGCATTGTGCACACGCACGCACATACCCATAACATGCACATGCATTGTGCACACACACCCATGTTTTTCCTCCAGCTCCAAATAGTCCATCTCAACCACAGCCCGAATGAGAACCTGTTACTTCCCGTCCAGATATCAAACGCCACCCTGTTGATGCAAGTGACTTATTTATTTATTTATTATTTGTGTATTATTTTTTACTTATTTATTCATTTTTGCTAAAGCAATTTGACTGCCCATAACATAAATTTATGTAAATGCATGTCCAAAAAATGCAGTATACATTTTGGTAAATACTTTATTTGCTTTCATACTGAAAGATGACAAAATAGATACCCGTTATCCGCAATTAAAACAGCCTTAAAGCTATACAGTCACTTACTTTAAAGTGCTTGAGAGTTGTGTTCTTGGAAAGTATCTGTCTACTTGTGCAGCACCGCGGCTGTATTTTCCTATGAAGTACCTAGCTTGCGGCTAACACATGCTAACACTTCTGACAAGCAGCGACTCTGCCGATAACGCTGTTCTCACAGTCCGTAGTCACAATGAATTTCTTCCATTCGTCTATATTTAGCCCATTTCTACCCGTGCCCGTGAATTAGTAAAAGATTTCTTCTTTTCCTTTTCAAGCTAGCTGTTTCCCTAGTTTGTGCTAACCTAAGTTAACCATCTTCTGATGTAGCTTCAGATATGAAAGCAGAAAGTTAGATGAGAAGATTTCATGTGAGGTCCCAGAGCTGCTCAGGATAATGGAAAGTTTAAACAGCTACGATACCATAGAAATGAACAACCTCCTACCAAATAAGACTGTTTGATATGGTCAAAAGCTCCATAATAAGAAAGTACATGGGCCTTAAAAAAAGTTTTTGTCACCTGCTGTTTGTAAGGTCAAGAATAACATTTCAAGCTCAGTTTTCAAGGCCTTCCATACAACAGTGACAGATATTCTATACAATCACTTGCCATTTGGAAAAATATTATACTTCTTTGTCTAATCAATGGCCATGGCAATCCAGATCCACTTAAACTGCATTAATATTGTTTGCTTAAGTGATGAGAAGTATATAACTTCTACAATAAATCTCCTTGCACAAGTTTTGCATGACACATTAAAAGAGGTCCATGGTATTAAACTCAGTTGGGGAGACACATCTACTGCCTGGCCTCCTGTTTTCTTAAAGGTTTATTAAAACAAAAGTGTAGGGATATATTTCCATGTTCGCCGAGTCACATGTTGCTTATTGCAGGCTGAGTGTTAACAGCACCTCAGCGGTGTGTTAACAGGACGGACGACTGTCAGCTCTTGTGTGTGCAAAAAGAATGTGTTTATGCAGAAAATAATAAAGGCAGCATTGTACCTGAGTGGGTATGTGTGTGTTAACATGCCTGTTAACACGCCACTTCCTGTTCATGCGCATGTGAGGGCGTGTCAAGTGCATGAACATTTATATTAATGTGTGTGTGGTGTGAGTAGCATTATGGACAAACTCACTGGTGCAACCTGGAGTGGGGACCAAGGGCCACAGGAAAGGCTGGGTGAGAAGATACACACTCACACACGCACACATATGAAACATGAATGCCCTCTAACATAAGGTCGGGCTATTGTGTGATATAAAGAGAGGGGGAGCAAGACGACAGGAAGGGAATTTATGATTTATGACTCAAGAGCAAAGACGGAGGGTGAAATTTATAGCAAAGGGAGAAAGAGAAGCAGGAAGGGGATGTCGTGTAACAGCACTGGAGAGATGAAAAGAGTCAAACAGCTCCTTTTTCCTAAGTAGTGAGTGTCAGAATAGTTGTGTGCTTGCATATATGCCCATGATGATATCTGTGGGCGAGGGCATTGTTAGCTGTGGTCACAGCATGGTTTTAGATCTTTGCAAGAGAGGCATTTATTTTTTAACTGGTGATCATGCCTCTGTCACACATGAACCAAGGAGAAACTCCAGTTAAAGTCCCAGTTTTGTCTGCTGTTTGGATACAGTGTGTGTTTTCATGTCAGTCTTTCTATGTGCAGTCACAAGGAAACAAGCATCCCTGCAGCCCTTTATAAGTTTCCCAAAGAGAAGTATCATAGGTCAGTGTGGATAAATGAGCTGCATACACACACGCACATTTAAGTTGACACTCTCAAGGAACATCTGGTGTTTTTGAAAGCTGATTTAATGTCCCCATCTCCTTTGCAACACATATGCACATCCATGCATATTGCATCCAACTAGGACAATGCAGAAATATTATAGCGAGCTGTAAATCTTTAACAGTGGCGATTTATGGCAACGTGTAGCATCTCTGATTTCACTACACAACAGAACAAGCAACAGTATAATGCATAACAGACACAATAATATGCAGTATAGTCACATATTATCAGTGGCCTATATGAGTTTAGCGTTAAAACAGTCCCTGCACTACTCCATTATTGTACATTAATTATTAATTAGCTTGCACTAAGTGTTATGGGGGTGGGAGAGGGATCAAGGTCCAATATCTACAGACAAACTTGCAGCTACAACCCTTGGCTTCACACTTAACAATACAAGAGTGACGCCAGAGGACCCACTAAATTGCCCAACAACCACACAGTGTGTTACTGTCGCCCTCTACTGTAAGGTGAGGGTAATGCATCTTCTTTTTTTTTTTCTTTTTTTTTTGCTGAGAGTGAATGCATCTGTTCTCCTTTGCTCATTTTCACAAGTGCATGAGGACATATGAGGATGGCTGGGTTAATGCAGGTGAAAGCTGTAATTGTGTATGGTTCATGTCACGTCAGTCAAGATGATGAAGGTGCAGGTGCAGGAGAAAGAGGCCAAATGAGGATTTGGAAAATGAGGCATGGATTTTTAAAATTGGTTATGCAATTCAGTCATAGCTTCAAAGTGTAAAAGTGCAAAAAAGATAATGAGATATGGCTTTATATGCTGCCAAAAGCTAAATGGGCCTTTTCAGAAGCCATACCTGAGAATGGCTAAATGGAGAAAGGAAATTTAAATTTACTGTCACTAAACTGCTTTTTTCCAAGCAAGGTTGTAGAGTGACAGGATTCCACCAAGGTTATAGGAAATAGAGTCAGTTGGACCATTAAATCTCCTTCTATATAAACACATCACCATCATCATGTTCTTGAGGGAAACAATGTTTGTGCCCCAGATACACTGTCATTTCTAAAGCCATCCTCAGCTCTCCACCACTGCACTGTGAAAACAGATGAAGATGGACTTCTGGCTTTGACCAAAAATAGACAAAACAGTCACTGAGGCTGTAAAAAGCTTTGATGCAAATGATGTGTCTGCTTTGTATAAACAGAATAAATACAACATTCACCCTTTTTATAGGCTATGCCACAGTGGCACAGCTCACTTATCATTTTCTCTGCTTGGATAAATTACACTGTCAGTTCAAGTCTGTGGGACTGTGCAAACAGTTCAACAGCGGAGCATAAGCATTATCATGCTGTTGCTCTTCATCATTTGTGCTGACATCCTGATGGACAATAGTGTTTTCCTGAAAAGGACACAATGTTAGACACTCCTTGGCAATCAATCAAACTAACATTATGCTAAAATGATACATTTGTTTGCAATGTTGTGCATGAAAGATTGAAATTCACTTCCACTGCACAGGTAGTACAGCATCCTATAGAGTCAGCTGACTTCTTACACTGAGCTTATATAACCTTTGAAATTTCCCCACACCCCACATGTGCAGGGCACTACTCACAATCATACATTCAGTTCTTGCATTCACTTCTACTCTTCTCTGCTGTTTCTCATTCCAAAAAGCCTAAACAACCATATAACGGTTAAAGAAAAGGTCAGAGCTAATTAATATCACCACGCTTTCAAATATTAACTGGCCATAATAATTACAAAACTGGCGGCGAGAAAATTTGGTTACACTTTGTTTACTTACATGAATGAAACGATGGGCGGGGCTTGTGGTCATCTGGGCCAGTAGCATTGCTAGGATGCGTTGACTGACGTAAACTGCAACCAATGAGTGAAGTGTACAGCTGTACATATGCGGCCACGACATAGCGATTTTCCACTCTCAGCGATTAGACAGATAAACAGTGAATTGATCCTTTTTTTAAGCTAATGACGTGAAGAGACTGATAAAAGGAGTCAAGTTTATGTTTCGCGTACTGGATATTAGTAAAATAATTTTTTTACTGTAGGGTTTTCTTGTGACATCCGGGCCTGTTCGCCATCCATCCCCCAGACAGCTGGTTTTGCGGATTCCCCCTCTTTGCACTCTCTGAAGTTGTGTGGTGAGTCTGTTGTTATTGGCGGAATAGAGGCAGAAGCTAACTGAAAGAAAAAGCAAAACAAAAAGAACAGCTAGAAAGCAAGAAGAAATGCCAGTAATTTAGGCTATGTTATTTTCTTTGTAAGAGTTTGTTTCTGGATAACGTAAATTTCACAGTAGGCTAACACTACCTACTGTGTTTCACAACATAAACCCTCAGATAAGGGGCTGACAAGATGGAAAACATTTAAAAAACCTAATGGGTTTTAGGTCTTTTCGTTAATTAGAAAAAGTTGCGGTGTGATAAACTACAATATTGATGCACTGTCAATTTCAAAAAATGTGCACTCTTTAGATATTGTTGTATTCCTTTAGTAACATTTATCAACCTTATCATTTAGCCTTCCCGATAAAAGTAATTTAAAGTGTGCGTTTGTAATTAATCGACAGGGTGTTTTTATTGTCGAAGCCACGCAGGCATTCATGTTTTGGAGGAGAGTAAGGAGTGTAGTGGCGGAGCAGGAGGGATGTTTGTTCGCATGCTGCATTCAAGTACCCAGTGTCAGTCTTGATTTTTTTATTATCGACATTACTGGGTTGTGTAGTGCTGTAAATATTAAACAATTATTAAATTAATTCACTGGTTTTGAAACTTGGAAGTACCCAGTGTCAGTCTTGATTTTTTATTATCGACATTACTGGGTCGTGTAGCGCAGTAAATATTAAACAATTATTAAATTACTTCACTGGTTTTGAAACTTGACCCATTAATACATGTCAGCCTGTCTTAGTTGCATATGCCAACAGCTTCAGTGTTGTTTATTTTTTTATTTTGCATGTTTTAGAATTGTTATCTTCTATAACCTCCTGCCTTACAATCACATTGAGAGCTTCTGTACCAGAGTCATATTCTTTTATATGCTAAGCATACTTGGCCATTAAAGATGAGTCTTTACTTTAAAAGTTGAATCAGTATTGAGGTTCGATCCCTGGTTGAGAACCATTAGATTAGTTGATTAGTAGAAAATATATTTGCAACATCTTGTTTGTCATTTCTTAGACAAACTTGCCAAATGCTAAATGGCACCAGTTGTCAAATGTAAGAATATACTGGACAAAACAAAAAACATGAGGATGTAACCTTGAGCTTTAGGAAACTGCAATGACCATTTTTCACAGTTTCTTGATATTTTATAGACAAAAACGGTGAATCAGATAAGTAAAAAAAATTATTTTCTTATTAATCAGTAATGCAGCCCTTTGCTCATTTGAGGAGGAAAAACACTTTGTTCCCGGCCTGCATTCAGTATGAATAAACTCCTGACTGAGTATTCAGTCAAGGTTTCTTCAGTGCAGTGCTTCAAGATGTATGTATGGGGCTCACACTGAATGCACTTTGCTGGTTTGAGAACAGGAGGATCACTTTGCCTAGCTGATTAGAGGCAAAAGCACCAGGATCATCTCTTGTTTGCTGCAGCAGCCACAGTGTCAGCTACTGTCAGCCACTCAGTTAGCGTAACTAACAACATTAACTCCCACCAGAAAAGAAACACATTATGTTTAATTCAGGCTGTGACACTTCAAGCTGGTGGTGTTGTTTTTGTTGTGGTATTGGTGATTTAATAGGATGTGGAAAAAAAAAACATACTCACCACATTCTTCATTTTTCTCAGCAGCAGAAATTCTGGGTCTTTTCCATCAGAATGAACTGCAGAGGAAAGAGGGTCAGAGATTTATAGTGTTTTTCCTGCTCTGAGTGCATCAGAGCTGGATCTTGTTCAGTCATGGGATCCATCATCCAATCATGCACTGTTAGCCCCTGGGGGGGGGGGAGATAGGAATGGAAATATGGAAATACTGTGATGGGATATAACCAGATGTTGTAGTGTTGCTGTTTGCAAAGCCTGACCACATCTGTTTCTGTGTATCACTATAAATATTTTTTTGCATGATAAACAAAACATCAGTTATTTCTGGCACTTTTGTCATTTGCTCCCCACACCTACATACTAATGTTCAGCAGTTTAATGCTGCTTATTCAAATGAGAATCTGTATGTTCTGAAAATTGTCAGTAGCCCATATCAGCCAATATTATATAGAATATATGAATCCCAAACATTTGAACTGAGGTTGGTTGATATGTTTGAAATTATATTCACAATATTTAAAAGTATTTAGTTTAGAAGTATTAGTATTAGCAATAAGTATTTCCAGTATCAGTATAGATAATGAAGCAGTGAATTGTATTCAACTGTTAGGGATTTTGTGAGACCAAGCTTTTGAATGTAGGCTCTCTGTAAAACAAAAGCTTGAATATACAAATTACATTCATTTTCAGTTATAGTTTGTTTGGGCACCAGAAATATGTAGAACGACAACCATAAGATTAGATCATAACAATATGATTTTTGCCTAAAGTAAATAAACAATAACATGGAATAACTGCATAGTCAGAATTGGTTTTATCAATTTTCAACGTGGACTGCAGATGCTTTTTTATAAAATCCGAAGACCTGCAAGAAGATAAATGCACGACCAGTATGAAAAATGATTTTAAAAATCCATTATAACATTTAGAAAAAGCAACCTCGCGGTTAAACGGATGATATGGGTGGCATTTTTGTACGCTTGGTTTACGTTAATTTAAGATTAAAATTCCCACATTCCCGAAAGCCTATGAATACAGCATCAGACCACGTGACCGAGCCAGCCTTCTAACGTTAGCACGGTGGCTAAGAGAATTTAGCTAACTTGAGCTACGTTGCATCGCAGCACGGAGACATCTCCACTGGACAAACGACGAAAAAGCACTCTTCGTGGTATAGTTGCATGAACTTTGTGTGGTGTTACACTTTGAGACCATCTCCGAGAGCATAATGCCAGGTAACTTTAACCTCAGAAACAGTGAATTTTAACGCCTCATCCTGTGCGTGTGTGTAATCCCGGAGCGGAGGCTTGTTTTGTTGACCTGTTTCAGTGATGCTGCCATGCTGTAGGAGCGTGCTAGCTGATAGCACTCGACTTTGTTTGGTCTGTAGCATCCAAACGGGAATGAAGTTTGGCCTTGTTACATGGTTAATGTTTTTTTTAATAGCCTACCGTGTCTCTTTTATGTCGTGCGTCGTTTGCGTTTAAGCCGTTTTCATGCAAATGCACTTTACGAGTGTTTTCAGCCACGCAGCCACCTACCCTTTGTTGTTGCCGTAATAGCTTTCACCTTAGGCCCGTTCAGTGACAGCTACTTGTCTTTCTGTTTGCAGCCACTGTAAACTAGCCACTTAGCTCTACCTTGGCCACAACAACCCCGGTCCCGTTATCAACTTTCCATGTAGGCCTGGACACCTGGCTTAGTCTGTTAGCAAGCTGCAAGCCGCGACGACGCGTGTTCTTCTGTTTTTGTGGTTAAGCAGACTTGAAGTTTCTCCTCACATGAAAGTACTACACAAAGTGGCCCGGGTTTCTCAAAACGATCTAATGATGGTAAAACAACACTCTTTAGCCTGCGCTTCATTAAGGTCATTTTATAGCTAAGTTGGTTAGTTCACTAAATATGAGAAAATGGTGGGATATGTCCAGAGAGACGCGTAAAATGTTTGTCTTAAAGGGTGGAAACAGCCAATGACAATTTTGTTTTATTGTATTTTTTTATTTTTTACAATTTATTGAAACAAGCTTCATTAGAGGCTAGAAATATTACATATATTGAGAACGTGTTCCCATAATCTACAACTAGAATGAAAGTGTTTACATCGTATGGTTATTTTGGATCGTCTGTGTAGCAGCGTTTTTGCTCCCCCCCCCCAATTGAAGCAGATGCAGTCAGACCGTCAGGCAGGGTTTACAGGCTGAGCTAGTCTTCACTAACTAAATATTACATGTGTAAAATAAACACATGATTGTGCAACAGGAACGTTAAGTACTACATGCAGTGCATAATGTCACAGTGCTCACTAGGGGATGCACCAATACCACTTCTTTATCAGAGTACAAGTACTTGCTGATACAAGTATTTAATAATAATGCAGTGTTTCTACAGTAAAAAAATTGCAACTGATATAAAAGTGCTTTGACTTTAGAGACAGTTTTCATGAGATTTACTTGGTGATTAAATAGCAGGAGCCTGTGCAAATAACTTTTAAACTTTGTGTGCCGATCACAACACTGCCACTGTTTCTACTGAATATCACATGTAACTGACTTAAGTTTTTGTAGGTGTGTGACCCTTGCAACCCCCACCCAGGCACCTTAAGCGTTTAATTTAATGAAGGTGCAGGCTGTCACTTTAAACTGGCCATTGTGTGTGGCATCATCCTGTACTCTCTGCTGGACCCCTGTTGTTTTGATATGACTTGGTCATTGTGAGAGCTAAAGCAGACATTTTATAAACTTAATGGTAGTTTGCCTTGTTTTAATTGCACACCTTAAATGCTGTGCACATTTGGAAAAGTGACCCATAAAGTTCGGCAGTTTGTGTTGGAAGTTTATAGTTTCTGTTTTATAGACTGCAGTTAAAATGAACAGGGACACACTGGCACAGTAACAGTCTGGTCGCAAACACTTTGAACATGATGGTACCTTGCTCACCTAATGCAGATTTACATGTAGGCTCGTCCTATTAGAAAATGTTCTTTTGTATCCTCGCACTCTTGATGACTAGTCTACTAGCCTACTTGGATTATCCTCCAATGAAGGACAGCGTGTCTGTTCTGTCGCTGTGTACAGCGAACAGCAGTCTCTCAGGTCAAACTCCGGCTACAAATGTTTATTTTTACTACACTGAAATGGCAGGAATAGACACCAAACAAACATTATGTCCAAAATGTGGACATGGGGTGAAGCTGCTGGGAGTTTGGGGACGTACATTATCTAACTTAGCTTTGAATGTAGTGGTGTGTGTGTGTGTCTATATCAGGCTGGCCTTGAAGCTGTATCGAGTTCCCTTTCCTTTTCTTCCTGCCTCTCTGCTGAGAGGCTGCAGTTGAGTCATGACAAGTCTGTTGAAGTTGGCTGGCAATCTGGGGATTATGTCGTACCGGGCATGTCTCATCATAGTGATGGTTCTGTGTTGCAGGGATGCACACTAATTGTGTCTAACGGCTTTTCCCCCAGAATTAAATGTGGGATACTTTTAAATAGTTTTAAAAATGTAATTAAAATTCATAAGGACGATGTCTAATTTTGACAAGCAGCCCAGAGTCTAAAGATATTTTACCGTCTTATGTCGAGGTCAGCAGAGCTGCACAACTGAGAAACCAGAATCAGGGAATGTGGCACTTTGGATTTAAAAAAAGATTAATGGATTGCCAAAATAGTTGCCAAATAGACATGTCTGATGTTAACAGGATAATTTTTATTAATCATCTGCTGCACTTGTGTTAAACCACTGTTTTGCTCAGTAGCCGGCACATTATTTGCAGCTGTAACCTCAAATCATATAAATGTACATGAAGGTTATGTGAAACCCTGTACTGGAAAAATTTAGTCTGTTTAGCCAGTTTGTTTCCTCTGTATTTGTTGCATCACTGATTGGCACAGCTGTCTTGAATAGTGTGATTGACTGAAAGGTCAATGATTAATCAGTAGGTGGTAGTTAACATAATTGTTTTACACAGCGTGTGCTTTGGTATATGAATGAAAACTGCAGGTTGTGACCCTTGATGCACAACTTGGTGCGTTTTGTCTTTGGATGAGCAAAGAAAAAATACTGGTTTCTATTTTCTGATAGTTGAATAGCCACTTAATTATTTCTCTGACCTGATTTAAAGTCTCAACTTTGGTCTGTTAGCGGTCTCTGAAATTGTACTGTTCTGTCACACTTCTGCTTTTCCCATCATTCACTGGGATTAAAATCTTAGACGGGAGCTAGGCTTAGCAGCAAAATGAGGAAGCACTGTACTGTATTTTCTGTTTTTAGTGGAAGTTAACTGATTTAACACTCTTTTTGGCTGTGAATTTTACTCTGTGTCTTTCTGGGCCCATGCATGTGCTTTTATGGCTCTGCAATTCACCAACCTGGAAGAATTGTTGACTACAGTGTTAAAATGCCAATTACTCTATTTAACCTTGCGGCTCCTTTAGGTGTTTGCAGTAAGAACAGTAGTAGATGTCAGAGTAGTTTTGGAGACTTGTTTGTGCACAGAGCAGGGTCAGTCCCAGTTAGTTATCGGACTGTTTCTTATTCGGATCATGAGATTTTATAATTGGAACAGTGAAACAAAAAGACTTCCTACCTGTGGAATCAGTTTCCCAGCTGTAGCTAAAATGTAATGTGCCTTGATTCAGATTAACTGATATAAATTGTAACAGCCAGTAAGATGCAGCTACAGGAGAGTGACTGGAAGATGAGCCAAAGCCACAAAAAAAATGCATGGTGTTTGATTTGGCTTTGGCAGTCAGTTGTCTAACTTTAAAAATACTTTCAGCAATTTTTTTTTTTGTGTTCTTTACTACACTGTTTTGAGCACAAGTCTGAATAAGAGTTTGACTTGCCAAATTTCCAGCTTTATGCCTTGGCCAAGTCTGAACGCTTGTTACTGTTTCCCTGTGCAGAGCCGGCTGAAATGAGCGGTCCAGAGGTGGCCAAGACACCAGGAGGAGGGGCCCCGGGCAAAGATGGCAAGGAGCCAGTGGCCAACGGGCACGCAGGAGAGAGCAGTGACTCCAACCCATTTGCTGAGTACATGTGGATGGAGAACGAGGAGGAGTATAACAGACAGGTGGGTGCTAGTCTTCATGTGTTCTGGGACAGGAAGCCCTTTCTGGACAAGGTGGCAGGAGACATGATTAATTTGATCACAGCAGGAGTTCTGTTATTGAGCTTTGTTTCACAAGAACTGCTACTTTGACTGCATTTCTAAGTTTGGCATTAATTCTTGGTGCAGATCCTGGGCTGTGGCAGCGTCACAACCAAGTGCATCTGGTGTTGCTCGGTCAAATGTGTGCACATATCCATGGTAGATTACTGTGCAACATGAATGACATAATTCTGTTTACCCAGCAATCAAGACGGGATGACATGATGACCGCCACACTTGTAAAATGCGTGTTGGTATTATAAACTGCTGTGCAGTGTGTTGTTGCCTGATAAACCCTCACACTTTGTGCATGTCTAACTGGAATTCTGGATTGACTCATCCTGACAGAAGTGACAAGCCCACATTAATGCAGCCTCTTGGCTTTATTTAGCCATGGTATTTTTTTATGCAACGTATTAAATAGTAGATTAATGTTAACCCTCCTTCATTCCTGCAAATACTCTTCTACATTGTCGCCTTTATGTCAGGTTGTAGTTGTGTTGCCTGGTTAAATCAGAATTCTCTTGCTTCCAAGTACTTTACTGAGAAGTTTGCTTTTCACAAAACCTTCCACCTACTTGTTGTGCACATTAATTTTGTTTCCACCCATCATTACTCTTCTCTCTCGTCATCTCCCAGGTGGAAGAGGAGCTGTTGGAGCAGGAGTTCTTGGAACGCTGCTTCCAGGAAATGCTGGAGGAGGAGGACAAGGATTGGTTCATCCCATCACGTGACCTCAACAACCAGGGGGTTGGGCAGCTACAGCAACAGCTCAACGGTTTGTCTGTCAGCGATCACCACAGCAACCTGGAGGAAGTGGCGGTGAGTCATAGACGAGCCCAATTTCACAACAGATTGTATTTTTGCATAAACTCACCTAGATATCGATTACAGCCAGGAGCTTGGGCTGAAAGGAATGTGTTTGTGTCTTTCTTGCAGAGGAAGAGCATCTTGAATCCCGAAGCGAAGGAGTTTGTCCCGGGCAAGAAATACTAGGAATCCCCCTCACCCCCACGGAGCCTCCACACACACATGCACACCCACCAGTTCTCACATGCTCTCAGAGACTCTGGCAGCCATGGCCGTACAAACACTGATTCTCACATACACGCATGCACACACTCACACCTACATGACTGAAGTCAGTGGTTTGCTGGCAGGCCCAGTTGGGGGGTGGGGGGATGTCTTTCTTTTTTGTTTCTTTAATCTTTTTATTTCCTTTTTTGTTTCTTGTAAACTGAGGGACAGTGGGAATGGGTTGGGGAGGGGTGTAATCCATCACCGCCCCACTGCGGGTGCGAAGTCATTACTGCATTTCAGATGACACTGATGTCCACAGAGCAGATCTCATTTTAGTCTCCTTTTGAACTGAGGCAGCTACCGAGGAGTGAGGACAAAATCTAAAATCCAAAATCCAAATTTAAAAAAAAAAAAAATCATAGTTAAATTTTTTTTTTGTCAAATTGAACAACATTGTCTTGCATAAGCTGAGGGTTTCCATGATGGCGAGGATCACGCAACTAACAATTCAGGGGGCTGATTGGGTTTCTGCTGCTGCTCTGTCGAGTCATCACAGTCACTCAAACCATTTTATGTTTGCTCCTATGATGCTGTAAGCTCCCTGAGACATCACAGCTCTGCTGCAACTAGACATGAGTTACTTGTAGTCTGCAGCAGCCCCATTTCCAACCAAATACAGACCCCGCTCGCCGTGCACATTTGTTTTGAAGTTGAAGAACAGACACAAGTAATCATGGATAAGAAAGTTTCCCAATTTATGTGGAAGTCTGTTTACTTTTGTCCAGGTGTGAGTTTGCCAATCACGCACCAGTTTTGGAAAGAAATGTTACCAAGGAAAGGGCAAGAGCTCGTTGAACCTTAAATAAATCCTTTTTCTCTGTTCACAGCTTCATTCTTTGGTGTGCTTTGGAATCGTGCAGTGTAATGAACAGACTTGTAATGGGGGAGTATTTGGTCTGGAAAACGCATATTGCCACTTTCTTTCAAACCAACTTGGTTTGTCCAGCATTAGATCAAGTGTCCATGTCCAAATCAGGTTTTCAAACGGCTTCTCCTCCTCTTTTTGTCTTCATGTTTTTGGGGATGAGGCATTTTGTGTCTCTACTGGGCATAGTAGCCTATGGTGTCCATTCAGTCCTGTGTGTAGGAGGAAACGTGGAGACTTGTCAGGGTAAAACAGGATGGAACATGGCCGACTGCGGGGTCTCCTCGCTGTTCATCCCTTTGTTGGCTGACTTTTTTTAAACTGTTGATTGGTTGTGGACTGGCTTTCCCTGAAGCATTGCCACTCTGAGTCAGTAGGAACTAGTGATATATGTGAAGATGCTTTTCAGGAAACCCAGGCTATTATTTACAGTAAGTGTTCTGAGGCAACTTTACTGGTTGTCTGCCATTTTGGCTCAAATTTAGAGACAGTATTGTGGCGACCCCTAAACGGGAAAAGCCAAAAGTGACTTTCTTATTGTTACAAGGAATATCTTGTGATCTGAACATGAATCCTCTTCATTTATTAAACTGACAATAATTTTACTCTTGGTGCCAAGTAGGCACTGACAGCACTTCTGTCATTCAGTGCAGCACCTATGATTTATAAGCCCAGCAAGTGTTTTCTTAAAGTGTGCAGTCAAAACAGGGTGTTAAAAAGGAACCTGCTCAGCCAGTGTTGAACCACAGCTTTTGAATGGCACCCCGGTGAAGCCATTAGGAATATCTGCCAGGTGGATTGCACGACATGAAATCATTTTTGGTGATTTTGTTTGAGGTAAATGAGTCATTTAAAAAAAAAAAAAAAGTCCAGAAGATGCAGAGTATGACTTTAAATAAAAATAATGAATAAAGATGTTAAAGACAAAAGCTTTGTCAGTCTGTCACATTTTGTTAACTTGTATTGTGTTAATATAGTGAAGATCTAGCAGGCTCTTCTGTCGTTTAATATACATACATGTGGTTTCTAAAATCACCAGTATACACTTCACACAGACTGTGAGACTCACCCAGTAGATTTCAGCACTATATTGTTCCAATTTTAAGCAAAAAAGACACTTGGGTTACTCTTAACACTTAAAGCTGTGTTAAAAATTGCCTTTGAGTTGCAAATTGAAGGATCTGAGTATGAAACCACTGAGTGAAACTTTGGTCTCCTATCTGTCAAATGTTTAAGAACAGGGTAATGTCAACATTATGTCCCATGCAGAAATGTTCATAAGTGTTGAGAATGGATCTCAACTGTGAAATGAGCTCCACAGATCCTTGCCACTTAGTGAGCAGCAGATGGCTCCATTACTTGTACAAAGGCAGAGGACACGTTTCTAAATACTGGAACTGTATGATGAGACTGAAGAGTCTGCAGAGCTAAAGCCTCAAGTATAACTTTGAGCTAAACACAAAGAGCACATCAGTGATTAAAACTTGCAATGAAAAGTCTGTTAAATGATTTCAAATTAAAAATAGACTTACTGTAAAGAAACTTGCAGGTAAACTATTTATAAAAATGTTAAAGGTTAGGTTGACCCATGTGTTCTCATATTTACAGCAAAGTTGACAAACCTGTGGATTGAGGCCTCCAGTGATGGTTAACACCTCACATAAAATGTTTTAATAATTGATATTCTGATACTATTAAGCATTTTAGTTTCTTTGGCTTTACTGGTAACTATAGGTCTGTGTATTTGGCTGTATTTACTAACTATATGGCTTTTGGGACAGGACAGTAGGACACTGGACAGTAAGACTGAATATCATTATAGGAAATAATGTTTTTGGGGGGAGCTAGTCGGCATCATGCGACAAAACAATTCTGACTTGTCATTGTGCCAAAATAGAAGGGCATGATTCTGCATGAGTACTTTTACCTTTGATGCTGTCAGTACATTTTGCTGGTAATACTGGAATAGTTTTTTTTTATGCAAATCATTTAAGCAAAAGAATCTGCAGTGTTGGATGTTCATTTAAATCTCTTTCCAATCTAGTATGGTCTCTGTTCGTGCATGTGGATACCCTTGGTGCCTGAGCAGCACAGATGGTTGGACAAAGAAGCAGCGCCTTTTAACACTTAATGACATGCAGCATGTTGGTGGGTTGTCATGTTTGACATAAAATACCAACAATGGTTTTATAACATCTGCTGTGTATTGAAACAAAAGGTGATATTCAGAGTGAAGAATGAGGATTCCAGTGACAACGAGGGTGATGATGGTGAAAGTCACTCAGCCGGTTCCTAGACTGGGGCCACTAGGATGAGACACAAGATAATAAAGGACAAACAGAGCAGTGGATGGGACACACGGGGCCAGCGGACATCTCTAACCTCTCTTTACCTCAGTAGTGTAGCTGGTTTGGTACTCTGTCAGCAGTTGCTTCCTGCTGGACGCTGGGTGGTAGACAGTTGGAGGTACGTTGGCCAAAGCTACGGCACTGCCCCAAGGAATGGGAGGAGGGAACGTTGGCATCCCAAAGCAACAACTACATGGGTGCTCAGTGTCCCATGCACAGCTGAGAGCAAGAGAAACAGAAAATAATACAAAGTGTACAGGAGGGATATGTAAAAAAAAAAAAAAAAAAGTTTAAAAAGTGCTAATGGTAAGAAGGCTTACCAAATGCACTGCCTTGAAGTAGGCTGGAGGAAGGAGCCGTTTGCCAGACCAGCTGGTCTTGAGCCCCTCAGGTTATCCCAATATTCAGCATCTAACCATAAATTAGAAGTAGCAATGCTCATTTATTCAAATACTGCACTTTACAAAGTATAGTTTACTTTGTGCATCCAAGCTTTTGACTGGTAATGTATACTGACACTTAGTGGTGTAAGCAAGTGGAACAGGTACCAGTGTAATTTATACTTCTGGTAACACAAACATTTATTGTGATAACTGCCCTCCTTTTCCCCTTTCTATTGTCAGACGTCTACCTATTTTGTCATTGTTTAATCTTGAAGAATTGAATTTTTTTTTTAATGAGTGAAGAAGAAAAACGGTTCCTTCTTGCAATTTCAAAATTGATTATAGATTGGGGTTAGTCTCACAAAGGTTAAAGTATTTTAATTACATCCTAAAGATTAATTTAGGGGATCTAGGGTTTATGTGTCGAGGAACAAGTGTGATTGTGTGAGAGTGAGAGACAGTTGTTCTACCTTTGTTTATGATGACGGGACTGGGGGCAACTGGAAAGTTCGGCAGGTGCGACAGCCCTGCTTCTCTGCACAAAGAACTGAGAAAATCTTCACAGCATGCTGGGCCATTGTGGGATGACAACACAATCACACCTAAAAGTGCACAAACAGATGAAATGAAATGAAAATATCACGTGTTTCTCCCCTTTGTTAGGTAACACACAATTTGAAGGCTCTAGGAACAATGTAGACTAAAAATATGGCATCTTAAACAGCGATGATGATGATGATGATGTATGTGCTGGATTTTAGACGCCACAATGCAATTCAGGTTTTCTCACTGTTACATGCACATATATCAAGAGTTGACTTAAACACTCCTGAAGTAAAAGCGGCAGTCTAACCCTTCTCATAGAGAACATCAGTCTTCTGCTGTGGTTCATCTTTTGCCTCCATCTGCTTAAGCACCTCTGCTGTCAATAGAGGAGAAACAGATTGAGTGGGTCTACACCTGCTAGCTTAGGTATGTGTGCATTTGATAAAGACAGAAAGAACCCCTTACCATTTCCAACACAAACACAGGACCGCTGACATTCCTCTCCCCCACCAAGTAAATGCCCAGTCTCCTTGACCATTCTCACTTCCTGTGTCCTGCTCTCTGTTGGAGCAGAAATGCACGGAGCGAGGATGCCAGGAGACAGGGATGCAGGCAAAGGGTAACAAGAGGCAGGCTGAGAAAGGGAGAGTACAGAGATGATGAGGATTTATGGTGCTGGAAGCCTAGGTCACAATACAGGTGCAGGTTTGAGTGCGTGTTGTTAAAGTCCACCTGTGGACAGGTAGTTGAGCCATAGACGCTGTTGGTTGTCTTGTAGAAGTATTGATTAAACACAGGTGAGACTTCTTGTTTGGCCTATGAAAACAATACAATAAACAAGGCCAGGAACACAATGTCAGTGAAACAATCTGTTCTTCTCCCTTTCTATCTATCCAACCATTAATCTATCCTACCTGTGGTGGGTTGATATGTGCAGCAGCTGCTTTAGCTTCATCTCTGGGCTTCAGCTGGTTGGCCTGTAGATGGCATTCAGTGAAGGGTCTAAAGTCACAACTATATGTTGTGATGAATCTCCCCCAAGGCATTTGCCCTGATGTCTGAATAGGGAGGAAAACAGGTTCTGTGACAAAGTTACCTAACAGTTCATGCATGTGTGAAATGGTGATCAGATCTATGAGATACTACAGCCCAAGGGCAGGATTCACACCCTACACTATCAGGAGCAAAGGTTTGTTTAGGCTCAGCTTTTTGGCAAACAGTGGAACATCACACTGTGAAGATACTATGTTACAAGTAACTGCACTTCTCTTTGTATTCACAAAGTTTCAGCATCTTTCCAGGACATTGTTTTAGTTTCACAGCTTCCAATTTTTTATTTTATTTTTTGCTCTCAGCATCATTTTAGACTGCAGCAGGCAGCTATTTTAGGGGAAAGGCTACAAAAGTTGACTTTACGCAGGCTGTCTAGCACAAACCACAGCCACACAAAGCTAGAAACTTTAGCAGCTACAGTAAACTGCCTTATATTGATCCCAGCAGGAGTTGGAGACTGAAAACAGGGCTGAGGTAAAACTGGGTTGTTAATTTATAGTAGGAAACAGTGGTCTGCATTCTACAGCGGACATTTTGCCAGGTCATAACAGGAAAAGCACAGGCAACTGAAATTGGGCACTTGAGGCAACTGCAGCCATCATTAACAAAATTTGTTTCACCTGTACCTTTCCTGCTGTGACAAGTCAAAGTGGCTGCTGTGAAAAGGGCAGTGAAGTATAGTTTAAAATAAAATGAACCGATTCACTAATCTGTGGACATAACGGTAACATTGGACAAATGTTCTTTTTTGAAATAAAATAGCCTACAACCTAAACTTAATTTACAGCAAAGTAGTTGTTTAAAAGTCATTTGACAAAACCAGAATTTAGATGTATTCTAAGATTTTTTTTATCTAAAAAACAGTGAATCAAGAGAGAAGTTGGTATACATGAGCTGAGATTTGTAGAGTCATGCTGACTGTTGCGTTGACGTGGATTGTAGATTGTGGCATGTTTGTCTAGAAGCTGCATACTTATTGTATGAGAGAAAAATGAGAGGAACTGTGTGTAATAGTAGCTGTAACAGTGGGAGAAATGTGTGGTCTTGTTTTCCAATTCAAAACATGCTGAGACAATAAAAAAAAAACAAGTGGCAAACATTACTTAAAAATGTATAAAATTACCAGAAGAAAAATCAAGTTCCATAAATGTCAAAGTCTTTACCTTCAGGTGTTTTGAGGGAATCATCTGCTGGTTTTCTGATGTCTCTTTGGCAGATTAATCTCAGTGCACCCTCACAGCAGTGAAACGGAGCTGAGCAGAGGAGCCAGTGGTATTTTTTTTAAATTGTATTTGTTCTCTTCACCGGGGAAGCACTCGCAGTGTTATTTCTTCTGCCTTTCTGTCCCATTACGTCTGCTATATTTCATGTGCTAAGTACTGCACATGCACACAGACAGGCTGTACATCAGTAGACAGTCTATGGAGCAACATGGGGCAGCACTTTCACAAACAAACAATAAACTGACTCTTCTTACAACCAAGGCAAACTATACACTGGCTAGTTCACAGTGATGCATTGCCTTTATTCAAAACATAATATATAAATATTATATTTCAAAACTGCACAATGTTTGTTTTTGACATTACCATAGAAGAAAGGAAGACACTGATGTGTCTCTCACCAGTGTGCAGGTAGTGGAACAGCACCATCTACCAGTAAATAAACAAAGGTGCAGGACGCCTGTAAAGGAATGGATCAAGTGTGGATTTATTTTAACTGGCATCATTTCTCTGTCTATAATAACAGAATAACATATAATCAGTGAGTATTTAGGTACAATTTAAAAACTTAAGACCAAAAAGTGACAGATTCTACAAATCTGAATGAGTCTTGTCAACAGTTTTCTTATTAGAAATGTCAAATGTAAACAAGTGTTCAAAAGTGCAAAGATTGACGGCACAATGTCAATCAAACCTATTCCACTGTCAGAATAGCAGCCATGCAGCCGTTAAAACCAAGATCCGAAATGTTTTCAGCCACAATCATTGCATCTTGTACAGAGAGCAAATCAGGTCTTTTATCATAATTACACAATCATTATTGTTATGGTAAGTGTTATTTCCAATTACGCTAATAATTATAAACTGGCCAGTACATTTTCCTCTGCTTTATTCTTACTGGCTGCTGTTGAAGGTGTGCTGGTAGAAGATGCTGGCATTGGCAGTGTAATTCAAAGCTACTGTGGTTCCTAAACTCTGAGCCCCAAGACTGGCGCCTCCGAGGGCTGACGAATGCTTCAAAATCAGGAGGCTGTAGCCATGGAAACAACCCTTGAACTTATCGGATGATGCTACTTTATCCAGGATTTCAGTGAACCCTGCCCAGACACAGAGAGACATAGGAACAAAGGGAGGAGAGTGATTTAACACAACCTTCTGCTGCTTCACCTCCTGTTCTTTCAGTGTGAAAATGATGAAAGTTGAGGACTTTATTTTCTAGATTCGAAGACACCGACCTGGCTTCAGCAGCTCCCAGCTCTTCCACACTGAGCCCACACACAGGATGGGCAAGCTGTGGTCACCGCTCAGTAGAGGCTATCAAGAGAGAAAGAGGGAGAGTTTAGAGGAAATTCATGTTATTCATGTTGATAGCAAGATTGTCTGTGTGTGTTACCTCCTGTGCTGCAGGTAAGACTGCCTCTACATGTTTTGCCAGGATTCTCCCAGCCTGAGTGAACACATACTGACAGAGGACATCCCCTGCCTCTGCACCTGGAAAACATGCACACTCAAACTTTTCTCTTTACCTTACTTAGTCATCTTTTACTTTGCCTTAACAATACTATGCAGGAAGTGATGTGCTGCCTACCTTCAGCCAGCTTTTTGCAGAAACCAGCAAAATGCGACTTCTGGAAGTCTCTGTAGAGGTGTGGCAGCATGCCCATCAGATCTGACACCTAAGATAAATTCATTTGGTATTTTACAACATGCTTAATTTACTAAACAAAACACAATGTCAGCATAAAGACTTACACGTGTGATTTCTTCAGCACTTTCCTCCTTGATGAATACATTTTTGCTAAGAGATAGAAAGTGACTGATTTAGTGACTGTTATTGGAGTCTTACCTGGAAGTAATCCTCCATGGCTTTTCTGACATATGTAATGTCATGAGGAGGAGTGACCAGGTTGTCTTTGGCATCGACCACTGTCTTCACAGCTAAATGAGCAATCCAGAATGCTGAGAGAGAGAAAGAGAGAGAGAGAGAAAGATATCTAAAGAGTCCATATCCATGGCCCCATCCATAAAGCTACCTTATTCATGTATATTGTGATGTTTACCTGATCCTTCATCACCCATCATGTGACCCCAGCCTCCACAGCCGACCTGTGAGCCATCGGGATTGACTAACTTGCAGTTAGAGCCAGTCCCTGATATCAAGACTATACCTCCTGCATAGAAAACAGAGACGGTTTAAGCTGAGCTGTCGTGTTACTGTTTAGATCTCATTAAGCCATATAGTTTGGAAATGACATCACTCTTATACAACCACAAGAGGGTAAAGTATTGAGCCTCGCCCTGCTATATTTTGTGGTCATATTTTAATTTTACATTGCATTATCTCAATGTAAAGTACAAATGCAGCTGCACTTAAACTGTGACAATACATGTAAGAGATTAATTGTAAAACTGAATGTAAATGCAGCTCACTTCCTAAACAAGTATGTCTTCAACAACGTTTAGTAGATAAGTTGTGCTGTGGACTCATCTCGATACAGTGACACAACAGAAAATGGCAGGTTACCATGATCACTAGCAGTTGCCATGGCACCAATGGCGTCAGTGGTGATGAAGTAGTGCTGACTGAGAGTGGGGAACCGTTCCTTCAGCTGAGAGATCAGTTTGTCAATGCCCTCTTTCTGATCCCCTCCACTCAGAGACATGCCCTGCGCATGCACACGCATACACACATGAAGAAAATCTGTGCTTAAAATCTACTTCCTCACAAATCTGAACTCAGTATAAGTGTACATCCTTTATGTGACACAGGTTTGACTGACCAGTGAGCACAGTGGTGTGTTTGGATCCAGTCCTGCCTCCACCTTGGCTCTCTGGACCATGTCGTTGATGGTTTCAATACATTTATCCACCCCAACCAACTGTACACATACACACACACGCAAAAATTCTTTATACAACCATTTTTACTAGCATGTGTTTCGATCATTAAAAGGTTAAAAATTGCATCATATACAGTGTTTTATGCATTCAGTAAACATATAAAGTAACTATGAATCCTCCAGCCATTTGTTACGCCATGCTTTTCATCATTTAAGTCCTGCATTTCTCCTCTTAACCAACCCAGTCTTGCTCCATTTCTAATTTACTCACCCAGTGGTTGGTGGATGGTCCCGCTGTCTCTGCCAATATGTTTCCATCTGCTGCCAACAACACTGCTTTGGAGTGGGTCCCCCCACTGGAGACAGAGGGATACAGGTCATGACAGAGACAGCAGTGCATCATACAGTCACCAGTGCAAAAAGGTGCAACTAATTAAAAATATGTCATGTATAAACTTACAGGTGAGACAGTAAGCACACAAATACATTATGTTCTGAGTTGCAAAAAGCTCCACTTTTTCCAGTTTTTCACATATACATTCATATTACATGAATTAAAACTGACAGTGAGAAACCAGAAGTGACTACAAGCCAGCCACAAAAAACCTAGTGTCTACTCTTTCAGTATATATAATACAATATGCTACATTTCTAGATAGCAACCGAAAAAGTCAATATAAAATCGTGCAATACACATTCGTTTCAACTTATAATTCATAAAAATAAATATGTATTACGTTTTATTGTATAATTTAACACAATCTCACCCTTCTACTCCGCCGAACACCGACATGTCTCTTTTCCTGTTTTCAAGTCAGCTAAACAGATATCGCGAGAGCAGGATCTCAACTCCGCCCTGCAATGCTGCTTAATAACCACTAGATGGTAGTAGTGTTTTGTTTGTGTCTAACTGTGCGGACCAAAGGGCAAGATAAACCCAAAATTAAAGAAATACATCTTAGGCCTGCATACACATTATGCCAATATCATAATTATATAAAAATGTCTCTTGTGACTTCTTATAGGTCACAAAGATAATGAACTGTTAATAATGATGTACCAGTGTAAGGGTTTACAAACCAAAACGGTTTGGACAGGGTTAATCTTCAATGTGTTGTATTTAATTAGCTTTGCGTGTGTTTTTCTTTGTTAAAAATTAAACGTAACTTGCAACTTGGCGTCAAATAAATTGAAAAAAGTGCATTTCCATTTAAAATATAGTGGAGTACAAAAAGAAAGGCTTCACAAGAGAGAGTACAAGAAACTAATTTAAAAATGTATTTATGTAGGCTACAGCACATAAGCATCTCTAGTTCCTGTCCAGTTTCCACCGCTGTAGATTTTTGAAATGGCCTATGTGACAAAAACAACAAGAACAGACCTTTCTAGTCTTGTGAAGGAACCTTGGCCAATTAAAACCCGATTTTGTGTTGTGATTCATGGACTAAGAATCCATAGTCAGGGTCAAGAATAATACTGACAAAGATTTAGCACCATTGAGTTGAGGGCTGAAAACAGGAAGTCTGAGTTACACAGTGAGCCAGTAGGAGGCATCTGCAACACATTAATGTGGGGACCAGGCAGCCAGGCAGCGTCTCTTGCCAACATCGGCTTGTTATAAAATAACTGCGATTCCTTGGCAACTAAAGCCCTGTAATGTTTCTGCAGTTAAAGCAGCTCATATTTAAGTACTAACTTTGAGAACATTATAAACCTGCTAGTACTTACATTTGTTAAAAATAATAGCAGGTTTGCATGTGGTTTGTATTGATACTATGTTTAATTTTAATTTAGAAAGTGCGCGTCTCGGAACTGAAACCGATAGAGAAGTTACATAGGCGAGAGAGGAGGTGGGAGGGAGGAAGGAGAGGAGCGGCTCGGTGCACGCACAATGCGTTGCTCACTCCTCCTGCGGAGAGAGAGCTGCGTCAAGTGCCACACAGTTACCGCTACAGCGGATGTCACTTAATCTAGATTTCAAAATAAAATGAAAGACTCCCCGAATTTGATCAACTTAGTTCATTTCCTTTGTTAGTATGATTTCTTTTCACCAGATAACTCCGTAAAGCCCAGAAACAGTATGAACTTCTTGAAAAACGTTTCCACAAACATCTAGTTTATAGCCTTTGTCCCGTGTTCATAACAGTCCAATCCTTAGCATGAAACAAAGTGTGTTAGGAGTGATAATTAGACTTTTATTGTGAAAGCTCTGGCCAGACGTTTCATGCCATGTGTTAAATGTGTCTTTCCATGGTCTAACGCTACAGGAGGAGACAGAAAGCCGACCCACCGATAACATTTAGACATTATTTAACGTTGTGGATAACAGATCAGCAGCTGTTTGGACCTTTTACATTTCCACAATGACACCATTAACTGTCCGCCATCGTTGTGAGAAACACGTTTTAACCACCGGGGAGGGGTTGTGAGAGAAGGGGAAAGTTGTCAGGGGTTAAAATAAACCCCACAAAAGTGATTTTCTTCTATCAAATTCAAGTCAGACTTTGCCTTTCGGGAGGAAGGAGGACCCTGGAACATTTGTGGGCATGGACACCCATATTAAGGAGGGACAACTTTATGTGCAGCATCAGAAGTTTGGAAAGGCAAGTAGAAGAAAAAGCTGTTATTTTGCTGGTATGGTTGTGGCGTTGAGAGAAATGACCTAAGCGAAAGAGAAAAAACTGCAGCTGGTGAAGCTTCATAAATATTCTGAGAATGATTTAAAAATGATTTACAACATTAAAATTAGCCTCTGGCATGTCATTCTAACATGAATATTAAAAACCAGTAATAAACTAGGAGATCTTACTTAAATCCTTAAAGTGAAATCCTTTTCAGACTCACAAGTCTCTGTAATATATCCTAATTCATAGAAAAACGTTAAAGGAAGTGAGAAGATGCCACTTTAATATTACTGATGTACATCGCAAACAGTTTAGAAGTTTATATAAAAATGAAATAGTGATGTAATGGTGACAAAAATGTGAAAAAGTAGACTATTGTTAGGAACATTAGGCCCTAGAGGTATGGTAAAGCATCCTACCAACTGAGAAAAATAAAGCCCGTTAATGTCAGTTTAGGTAAAGTTGCAGGCTCTACAAATCCTCATGTTTGTATTTTATGAAATTACTTATCCATTCTCCACTAATATATTACTCACAAACTGGAATGGAGCATTTATCATGGCAAATAGAGCATTTACTGGTGCGATTACAGACCAGTCACTGTGGTGTCTTCACTGACAGACTTGCTACTTTAGGTGCAGAAAGGGGAAGTTATCATGGTTTGACTGCTCTGGCCTTGTTTTGATGTGGTGGTTTGGAGTAAACCTGCTGTGTGGCTCTGTGTCTGCAAGCAGGTGTGCATGACAGTTTTTACAGGCTTGTAAAACCCTGGATCACTGTAGTAACCTTCAGCAAATGTGGAAATACATGAAACCAAAGTGGATGAACTAAGTAAAGTTCTTTACATTCGATCAGGGAGACTGAGGGGATAGGTCTGAGAGTTGCTCTTGGTTGTGTGTGTGACCTCCTGACGTCATCACAGTAGCTAACCGAGCCGTATGATGAAAGCTGTAATTTTTAAAAAAATCACCATTGAGGTTTGATGTTCCACAACAAACACAGCACATAGGTCTGCAAAACCAGAACAGCAAAGATTGACAGAGCTGGAAAGTTGACACTGAAGAAACATATAATTTTCATGAAGGTGGCTGACAAGTTTCCACTTAGTCTTCGCAGCATATACAGCTGTTCACAGCATTGCCCACTCTGTTAACACACAGCCTTTGTATCACCTCACTCTGGTGAGGCATGCAAAGAGATAACACCTCTGTGTGTGTTTGTTTCAGTCTTTGGCCTCCATGCAACCTTGCCTTTGGTCTGGGTGCACCGCTGGATATGAAGTCATTTACTCTCTCAGATTTGTAAAGAGGGTCTTTGTCTCTCTCTATGTCTCTCTCTGGTCATATGACATGGACCAGCAAAACATTCTGGCTGTTTTCTGCCCTGAAATCACTGCTCCACAAAGGATATTCATATTCCCAAAACACAGCCTCAGTGCCTTTTATAAAGTGTTTACAATAGTAAATGAACAAACTAAACCTTCACATTTTCAAAACATTATCTTTGCACAAAAGAAAAGAGGTCACAGAAGTGGCTAAAAAAAAAAGCACTAAGCACCAGAGGTGAAAAGAGCAGAACAGGAAGCTGCACGCTGGCTGATCTGACAGTGTTGAAACTGGTGTGGAGTTTGTATGATGAATTATGCAATTGTTAGCACTGTCACATACGTATACACTCATGTACCGTATGTTCATTCCCACGTGCATGATTGGAAAATATGACTCCAAGAGTGCAGTGGCAATGTCCGACCTAGGTTTCAGTTTCTGGCTGCTGCTTTATAATATGTGGCCATCATGTGCTTTATATAGCAGGATGTAAACCATCAAGATGCATCTGTGTTTCACAGGCTGAGTTTATACACCGAGTGTAAGACTTTGTTAGCTACAGTCCATTCATTCATTTATTACACCGTCTCTATTCATGCTGGAATGCATAGTCAGTTAAATTTTCATTATCAAGTCATTTAACTTTTCCTGTTATGCCCCATTGGGACGCTGCAAAAAAGTTTTTTCATCTTCTCTGCTCCTGCCCAGTTTGGAAGCACAGGATGAGTTGATGACATAAGAACCAACTGACAACAATTGAACCCTCCTGTTATGTTACAGGTCAAATTGACCCATTGTAAAGTTAAAAATCTAAAAACTATAGTTTAAAGTATTTTATTGGTAAGAAACTTCTTCTGCTTGGCTTAACAGGTGTAATCAACTTATAAAATGAAAATGGTTCATTTCCCATATTTGCTAGAGAAATAGCAAAGTATTGTGCATGATGAAATGACGTATGAGGAATGGCAAATGATGAAATAAGGCTACCTGTTCTGCTGTTGTAACTACTGCTGTTACATTAGTTATTTGATGCCATCTTGAGGTTGAGACGTGTAGCAGAAACAGCCGATTGTGTGCACAATTTAGTGGGAAGACATCCATGTGTACATGCCTCTGCTTGCCTGCCACACACATTCAGATCCAAGATGCTTGTGCCAGCGGTTTGTAGTTTACCTAAACCCTAGAGCTACAAAAAGTGTTGATTCTGATGTTGATACTGGGAGCTGTTCTGTCACTACCAGAAAGGGCTGCAGATGTGCTACTGAAGATACATGTACCCCCATTAAGACCGCTACAGTAATAATTACCTTAGGGACTAGCAGTGTTGGCTCTTCTTTCCTCTACATTTATTCAAATCAGGCAGAACCTCAGACAATAAGTCATATTTCTCAGAAATAGATCATCTGTGCTAGGAAGAACTCTATGAAGAAGTAAACTTGACATAGTAATTCTAGGTGTTTTATCAGAACGAATACAGTAGTGTGACTATACAATGTGGTGATGCCAATGGAAAGCAGTGGTTAAGAAACAATGATCTGAGCTCTTACTCACAGTGACTGTAATAGCTTGTGTAAATCCAATAAAAAGTTCACATTCAGTCACATCAGTTATTTTCAGTTGTAGTGTTGACTTTTCCTCTCATGTGAGTCAGTGAGGTCATATAAACATAACACTGCATATTACTTCCTTCCTAATAAATGTCATCTCCTCCTAATTATATTAATAATAAGTGATATCTTCACACAAGCCTGTAGCTGTGTGGACATTAACTATGTCACTGTGACTTTGACCTGGTACCTCAGAGATGACTGCATTCGTTTACCCTGCTGATGAAAATGCTTTGTCACGGTATTCCGATTTCCTCTGTTACATGCCCTTATTTACACACAGTGGTCATATGCACATGAATCTGCAGACAAATCTTTTTTGTTGTAATTAGGCTGCATTATAGTATAAGATAAAGAGGAGAAGATTTTTGTATCGTGTTATTACCAGATCAGGTTTTGGTCACTGAGCACAACTTTCCCTGGCTTTTACTTGCATGCAGAACTGAAATGATTAGGAAAATCAATTAGTTGATAAGCAGGAAATTAATTGGCACTAAATCTGATAATTGGTCATTCATTTAAGCCTTTTTTAAGGTAAAATTTCAGTAGTTCCTGCTTGTGAGATATTAATATTTGTTGTTGTTTTATCCCTCTAAACTGAATAACCTTGGGTTTTGGCTATTTTGAAATATTTTAACAAGAAAATGATGAGTGAGGGAAATGAGTCGAATCAAATTAACTTATTTGCAGCTGTACTTGAATGTAACAGATGTCATTGACCACATTATGCAACTGAAATATTTTAAAATGCCATGGAAATTAAAGGTTGGGTTGGTGTTCCTGGAAAAACCAGCAAGAGGAAGCTTGATTTGGAACCCTTTCATGTGTGCAAGTAGGAAGTAGGAAGTAGGTTGATAGGCAGGCAGGCCATCCAGTGGTTTTGCTTGGTACGAGTACAATTATTGGTCAAGTGTTTAAGTGCAGCTGCTGCCACAGATGATGGCTGTTTTTCTTTACGTTGTCAATGCATTTAATGTATTCATTGCCATTGGGATGAAAAGAGAAATTCAAGAAATGTTACAAAAAATGCTTCTGGAAGGAATAACATCCCTACTTTTAAATTTAAAAAGTCTTAAGCTCGTATTATGTTGGCGCTGTATAATATACTGTTGTTGTAAGTATGCTGTAACTTAGGTTGCTCAAGCTGACCTATGTATGGACATACATATCTCTCCTGGAGGGACTGTCTGCTCCACATGGAGCCATTTGGCCCAGGATACACCATATGTGCACAGCAGTACTTTGAATATATGAAAATGTGATGTATTTTTCCTTAACTCATCATGTTTCAGTAATAATAAGCTAACGATCTTCAGCTTAGTGGATTTCTTTGGAGAAGTGTCAGCAGGTAACCATATTACTGTAGTTCACTGTCGCCTCATTTTTGCAAGATTATTTGATTCAGATTTCAGCCTAAACTGGTTCAGGTATTTTTTTCTCTGCTTAGTTTCTCTATGGCTGCTGTCCTGACATGTTTGTGTACACACACACACAGCAGAGGACTGAGGTTAGGGTCGCTTGTAGTCAAAGCCATGTACACCATTTAACACGCATTAATGAGAACAGACAAGCGTCAATACACAAGCATAACTACACTCTCTTAAATACACACACGCACACATACATGCTATGTTTTCATTCCTTGTGAGGGCTTACATTAATTTCCTGTAACCTTAACCTAACTTTAACCATAACCACTACATGCCTAGTCCTAGCCCTGACCCTTAACACTTAACCTAACCTTAAACCATGTTGCCACCCTAAAATTCAGTGATTCCCTTGTGGGGACCAGCCTCTAGATCCTGAGTTTGAGCAGTGACAGTTCTGTGAACCAGTACACCAGCCTACATGCAAACACATTAATACACATTGATACGTAGTGTAACAATGTACTGACAATTGAGATTACAGGTAGCTTAAGTCTCTACTGCATATGTCATATCGATATAGATTTAGCTTTTTAAGAAAAAGACAAATCCACTGTAAAATACTGTATATTTTTAGTAATGAACAAACAGGAAATACAAACTAAAAAGTCAACTTCTTTGTCTACACCAATGTCTCAAAATGATACAGTAATACATATGTACTAGGGATGGGATGATATGACTTTGTCTTGCTACAATTCGATGCACGATGGTGTGTACGGTTCGACTCAATCGCAACACATTTTAAAAATTCAGTAACAACAATGTATGACTAGCTGCGCAATACTTGTACTTTATTCCTCTTTTTTCCTCTTTCCCAGCACTGGTTTGTTTATGTAAAGAACAACCAGATATATTGACTTATGTTATGTTTTGATATCTTATTTACAAAAAATATGAAGTCGCTGGTGTATGGAGACCACATGATATATATCACTAGACAAAATTATACTTATTGTGACGACATTTTATCACGATATTTTGAATTTCAATATATTGTCCCATTCCTAATATGTACAAAAGGAAAATGTGATATAAATTCATAAACAAATGAATAAACTGAGCAAGCAATGAAAAACAACTGTGGCAGTGTCACAATTAGTATTGTCTTTGTTCTTTATACAAAATGATATGACAGGAAAGAAAAGCCACCACTGTTTGTTCAAATGCAGGACATTTGTGTAGGTCAATATAAGGCCATGTATTATTTGGGCAGTGAAAGTGAGAAACACACACGCACATCATATTGTAGCTAATGCTATTGTGTTCTCATGACCTGGCTGGACATCAGTGACAAAGTTTCTCTCTATCTCTCTGTCATGATCCTTTTTGCATAGTTTCCACTCAGTGACTGATACTGTTGCCTTATATGGAGCAGCTGTTTCACACACACACACACACACACACACACACACACACACACAAGTAGGGGTTTACTGCTTTCATAATCTGGTCATGCATGCTGCACAAGTACACGCGTGTACTGACTGAATAGAGTCTGCATGTGCAGATGGTCCAGAACACACTGAGGGGATATTAAAAACAATACTGCAAACATATGCACATACACATGTGTACATGCACTGAGACGAACCTGGATGCAGAAGAAGGAAGCAAACAGAATCCTGGGTAATGGCAGTCCCACGCATTTCCTGTTCTTTCTGGCAGTTCATTTTAACGGTTTGGATTGTGCGCACACACATGTGCATGTGTTGTGAAAACGTGAGTTAGATATTGATCAAGCTGACTTTCATTAATGCACACAGCTCTGTTACTGTCATTTTCTCTCTTAGAAAAACTGCGACATTTACCAATTACAGCACAGCTTTTGCAGCCAAGTCTCAACTGGGTTTTACTTATTATTAAATGAGGGTTAAATATTTGATTGTGCAGAATTAAGGCCCTGCAGCTACAGTTATATTTGCCCCATTATGCAAACATGGTTTATATTTAGTCACATGACTGTTGCATCTATGCTATGAAAGACAGTGATGAACTGATGTGTTGTTGGAGTTTGTCTACAAGTATAAAATGCTACTTTCACATTAAGACAGTAGCAGTATTAAGCCAATATAACACTGGACCATTTTCTGCATACAGTGAATGTATGACTTGTACTTACTAGAGTGTTTTTATACTGTAATATTGATACTTTTACTTTTGTAAAAGAGTTCCTCTGTCCCTTACAAAGCCAGTGTTTGCTCTTAGGACTGGACACACGATCAGACAGTTCAGCCAGTGTTCAGTCTATCGGAGTGGATATCTAAATAGAAAGTGCTACCCAACATTTTTATAGAATGCACTGTATTTTTATGCATTTAAAATTTTAAATATATTTAGTGTCTTATTTCCACATAATGTTTTTAATTATTTAGTTTCCACTAAAGTCCCTATATATTCTCAACACACTTTAATCTTTGTAATAGGCTTTTCACACAGAAACCGTTGACGTGTCACTAACAACCATCAGATATCTACAGTGAGATTGGCCTTAAATGCCACAGGCTGTGGCTGCTGTTACACCGAGCTGCATTCAGGTCATCTTAACTTTCAAAATGATCTTTTTTTTTTATAAAATATTTTCAGACCAGTGAAGGAGAGAAGCTCAATGATCAGGGAGTGTTTGATGACCTTTAGCTGCGGTGGTAGCGTCCCCCCTGCCGGTTGAAGGATTTTTTCAAAAAGCTGACCTTCCTGTCACAAGCTCAGCTCTCTGGCTGCTCTGCAGCTCCCACACTGCTGGCTGAAGGCAGGGGAAATCACACACACCCTGTGTAGCAGCAAAACACACACACACACACACACACACACACACACACACATATCCAGAAGGCACAGCGGATGACAGGGACTTCCCAAATAAATGTTGAGTTCAGGTGTTTCATATTTTTCCCATAAACACATGTATATTACTTTCTGTAGTGGCTGCACATAATCACGTAGTGTGTCATCATGTCCATTGTTACGGCCGAGTAACAAAGACTCACTGTGTGTCTTATTCAGCACTGTGTGTCATGTTCTTTGGTTATGTCTCTGTGGAGGAAGAGTCCATTGTTTGCTGTTGCTTCCTCACCACTGTCCTTAATGAGAAACAATGTCCCAGTCACCTAGTTTGGACTGGGTCATATTTGTAACCTGCGAGGGACCAGGGCTAACATTCAAAAATATGGCAAATCCAGAGAATGCTGTGTTAGTTATTACTTGGAAGAGGCATAAAACACAGGCTTGTTAATTGTAACATGTAATCCTTGTAGTTATAGTATGATATTTACTGAAGATGGTGTAGGTATTGTTTAAGATTTCACCTCCGTTTTTTTCATTTGCAAAATCTCAAGCAACACGTGGTTATTTCAACACTACAAATAATTAGTAAATAAAGAAAATGTCCACCTTAAAATGATGTATACAGTTGCAAGAAAAAAGTATGTGAACTCCTTTGAAATCATAAAATGTGAGCTGATCTTCATCTACAGACAAACACAATGTGCTTAAGCTAATAACAAACAATTCTCAGCGTCAAATAAACACTTCTGGTACCTGCGGTTCAGACCTGCAGGTACCAGGTTCTTTTTCCTCTCCGTGATGGCAGCTATCTAGGCGTGATGTTCCCAAACAGCTCAGCCTTAGTTTCATTAGTCTTTTACTTCTTCGAGCCTACACTGTGAATGTTTCAATGATGTATTCAGTATGGACAATTGAATGATTTGTGTGTTATTAATTAAAAGAGATTGCGTTTCTTCAGAAGGTAACAGATAAAGATCTGAGCATATTTTAAAATGGCCATATGTTTACATACATACATGCAGATCGTTCCCAAGTGTTCATTTAGTTTTTTGCCACTATAAATATAGATTATCTGCCATGAGAGTTGGCATGTGAATGTCACTTTCGGAAATGCACCTATAATAACTCAGGAACACATCCTAAAGATTTAACAGTATGAAGTATATGAATAAGAAATAATATTTAAATTTATTTTGATGAAGTCATAAAGACCAGATGGGTACTTGTTGTGATTTATGGGGGAAAGGGCTATTGAGCAGTGATGACTAATACTGTAACTGTTGCCTGTTGCTGCTGTTCATTATTAAATGTGGAGGAAACAATGGTGTGTGGAATTGATCTGAGTCAAACTGCAGCAGTTATCACCACATGCCTCCTACATATATCCTCAGGCACAGAAAGACCCGAAATATAGTTTTGACTCACATCTTCTGTGGACCACGAACATTAACGTTCTCATCGATTCATCCAGTTTTGAGCATTTGTGGTGAACCCTGCATTTAGCCCTTTCCCTATTGCTGTCTGACTAAACCACATGCAAAATGTATTTCCCTTCCCTGACAAATATGAACAGGACAAATGTGGTTGGGAGAAAAAAATAAAAATAATTTTTTGGTTTCTGTTTTGTAACTTCCTCTTTCCTGTCACCCCCTTCCAACCTTCCCTCACAGGTTTTTCTACTTTTAGTTTTGTTTAAATTTCGAAATAGCCTTCTTATGTGAAATGCTAGTTTACTAATTTCTAGTTGGAACAACAGTGTGCGTTGCTCATTGTATTAATAGATAAAACATTTTTTAAAAATCATGAAAAGATACACATTTCTGGACCATGAACATTTTTTGATGCAGTGTCAATATATAAACAAATGTAGTGCAGCTTTAAAATTTTACATTTCCTTTATTTCCACCCATCAGAAATGGAAGAAGAACTGGTTTGTCCTCTACCCTGCCAGCCAGAATGGCATTGCTCGCCTCGAATTCTTCGACTCGCCTTCGGGTGGAGGGGGTGGCAGTGGAGCCTCGGGAACTGGGTCCAGTGAGAAAACCAGAAAGCTGGACAAGAAGATCATTCGCTTGTCTGAGTGCATTTCCATCCTGCCAGCGCTGACAGAGAACTGTCCCAAAGAAAACATGGCAGCGTTCTGTGTGGAAACCAATGACAAGATGCACGTGTTTGCTGCAGAGAAGAGCGTTGCCAAGGAGTGGATGGACACCATGTGTGACATTGCATTTCAGGTATCTCTACATGTGCATGCCATACAAAACAGGGGGGTACCAGTGCCACAGTCTGCTGTAGGAAATAACTTTGCAGTAAGCGACCAAGACATGGGTGGATGTGTGAATATTTGAAGTATAAATTTCCTATGTTTTACAAAATAATTCTGTGCTCTCTCTGAGGTTTTTATGCCTGTTTAAATGAAAGAAATACAACATTATTTTGGTGGAAAAAACTGAAGAACTGCTACTAGATTGTGATTTATTTATTTATTTTTGTTTACTTGCATGTACATATCAATTTTCTAAAAGTTCCCATATGTCCCTGGAGTGTCCAGGCCATAGCTTCCATCAAAATAGCACACATTTGCATAGAGGAAGTCAGAGTGAGTTTCCAGGAGGATGACTCAGTCTGCTTCGTAGTCTATGGCACTCATGTCATTTTTATTTGCTTTCCATTCTTGTAACCCAAAGAACTCCTGCATGTAGTTGAAAAAAAAATTACTAATATACTTTGTTTCTCTGCTTGTTGACTGGCAGTCTCTCTGTGTCCACAGGGAGGACAAGGGAGTGGCAGCAGCAACACTGCTGCAGACTTAAATGGAGGCCCCCAGGACCTGCAGATGTCTGAAAACCTCATCTACTACTCCAGAGAGGAAGGTAAAGGCACAAAAATCACGTTGTACATAATTTTAATGATCTCCAGGAAATATTGCAGAAAATCATTTGAAATGAAGAGATTTAAAATGAAGCCATGCAAAAGCACCTCTCCTGTTTTTTCCTCGTAGTGAACGAGTTCTGGGTGAATGTTCAGCGTACCGAAGCTTCAGAGCGTTGTGGGCTGACAGGCAGCTACTGGCTGAAGGCTGAGAGTGACATCTTGATCTTAAGGGAGCCAAAGACCAAGAGGAACATCCTGGTGTGGCCCTATAAGCTGCTGAGGAGATACGGGCGAGACCGGGTGGGTGCCTGACGCACAAACAAACCCTGAAAAATGATCACCTCCTCAGAGATTAAAAAAAGATTGAGTGCTTCCACACCTGACATGTTACAGACAAAGGATGTCCGGTGTGTCAAATTTAAGTCCACACTGCAACAACTGATCATAAACCAAAAATGCAAAGAACAGTTTTAGTAGCAGTGCAAGTGTATGTGGTTGTAACCTTGATGTTACAGGGTGTTCAGTTTTAGTGTCATGGCTGTTTGCGTGTTGCAACAATTGATCATAAACCAAAAATGCAAAGAACAGTTTTAGTAGCAGTGCAAGTGTATGTGGTTGTAACCTTGATGTTACAGGGTGTTCAGTTTTAGTGTCATGGCTGTTTGCGTGTTGCAACAATTGATCATAAACCAAAAATGCAAAGAACAGTTTTAGTAGCAGTGCAAGTGTATGTGGTTGTAACCTTGATGTTACAGGGTGTTCAGTTTTAGAGTCATGGCTGTTTGCGTGTCACCCTGACTCTCGAGTCTAGGATGTAAAATTGTCTTTCAGATTCTTCACATGATGTTTATTTATGCATAAGTGTGTGTGACTGATATGTATAGACAAGCTTAAGTCTTTTTTCGCTCACCATCTCTCACTCGGCCTATATGTTCTTTTAGTGATTATACTGGAAAGTTCCCAGTTCATCTAGTTCTCCTCTTCTTTAATTCACAGACAGACTTTTTTGATATATATGTGTAGGTCTTTGCATTAGTGAAAAAAAGCTGGGGAAGAAAGTGTCTGTACAGAACAAAATCTAATAGTAGGTGACGGCAGTAAAGGAAGCAAATATTCTTTTGCCAAGAAAAATGATAAATGAGGGATGACTGGAGAGTGCAAGAACTTCTGTGACTAGCTTCCATTACTTCAGCTCCATTTTTCTATTTATTCTGACACCTCTTTAAATATTTATTTAGTCTTAGTCAACTTTACCTCATCTTGTCCTTCTCACT